CCAAACTAATTTTACTTTGTCATAACTGAGTCTTACGTCTTACATTATAAATGAATCAGAAAGATCTACTCAGACACAGTTTTTTTTTTAATAATTTCACTGTATGCCTCAACTGGACATCCATCCACTGAGATGATCAAGAATAATGATCCTGATCAATGTGAATGTCTGAGCTGTATGCTTCAAGTGAACTCTTGCACAACAGTGTGGAACAGAATGAAAAAAATCAAGTCTTGCGGTTATAAATGTTAAATATGCATTATAGGAAAGAAAGTCTGCATCTCTTCTGCATTGATAAATTGATGACCGAAATTGTACTTATATTCCAAAACCTGAAGTCATGACGGTTTCCAATCCTACTGCCAGAGGGCCACTGTACTGCAGAGTTCAGGTGAAAGACACTTGCCTCAAAGTTTGAAGACCTTGATTAGGATTGGAGCTGAACCCTTTAGTAAAGTGACCCTTTAAGGAACAGGTTTAGACACCATTTACTTAGAAAAGCCAATTATTGGATCCCAAACAATCTTTCATTCAATAGTATTTTTAAGAATAGAACATATTTATCATTTTCCAAATTAAAGAAAATTAAAGGCTCTTGCTGAGATTGTAGACGCTGATACAATTAATTTGTTTAGAAGGATGTATTTTCACTCATGGTTTGTTTTTTCCAAGACAATGATTCATTTAGTCCATGTTCACTGAGAATTATGGCACCTTTATACTTCAACAAAATCGAAAAATAACTGAAATGACGTCACTTTGAACAAAATCTGGCCAAAACAATGTTGTTTGCAACACCAAAGCAAACCTTTTGGGCAAGTTTGTTTAGGCTCCTAAACATCTTTGAGCTACCATTGGTCTGTGGTGGTGTCCAAGAACTCCACCCTTTTTTGCTCAGTTCAGAGTCAGACCAGAGAAAAACCAACCAGTACAATAGCAAGATGTTAACAATATGAATACAGAGGGTCAAGTAGCAGAGATGATACAGATGTACCAGCGAGTACAATCACTCAGTGAAAGACTTGGTGTTCACACACCAGAGGAATAGGACAACTGCTTCATGCCATGTCTGATAAAGTTCTAAACATTGTTCCATTTGGTATCTACAGTAAAAATAAAGCAATATGACATGCCACTATGGCGCATCTCACCAAGAAGGCTGTTTGCGATGTTTATGAAACTATTCTTCTCTCTCAGCCGCCATTGTTGTTGTGTTTAGTGGAAAACTCAAGCAGATAACACATTTAATACCTCACCTACTGCAGCCAAGGGCTATCAGAATGTCGAAAAAAGTACAGTCTTTTTTTCTAAATTAACGATAAGTATTTTCACCAAACCTAACAATGCAAATCAAACAAGCAAACCAAAAATAATCAAAGCAATAATAAAAAGTGAATTATTATTTAGATTTTTTTTTTACTTAGGTACATAAAATGTGTAAAGGTGTCAGCTAAATCTCACACAATAACAAAAAATTCCTAATTATATTGTACATGAAAAGTAAGACCTAAGTAGTAAGCAAGAAGTACCCAGATTACCTGCTACTGTACTTCTGCTGAGATTCTGTAGAGTGCATGCAATGGACATTTTATTAACCCATGAGGCCACAGAAGAGTTTGTCAATGAAAGTGAATTGAAACAACTGCAAGTAGGCCATGTGATAATGGCATGATAGATGTATTCATCCATTAATTTTCCTTCTGCTTAGCCCCTGATTATCAGAGGTCGCCACAGCGGAATGAACCACTAACTACTTTGACATATGTTCTACTAAGCAAATGCCTTTTCAGCCACAACCCAGTACCGTGCTGGGAAACACCCATACACTCTCTCCTTTACACACACTACAGCCAATTTAATTAATCCAATTCACCTATGAAGGATGATGGATGAAGTATGTCTGAAATCAAAATATGCTACTCATTTTCATACTGTATAGAACACACTTCAAGTTCAGATTCAAATGTAGTACCTACTCAGGCAGTAAATGATTTTTACTGTTCCTCATTATTCAGAACAGTGGAGGACATATAAAGGACAAGTTTATTAAAAAGGTTCATTAATTGCAAAATAAATTTATTTTCACAACTCTTGCAAAAATAAACTATTCAATGTTTTATTAAAAAAAAAAAAACATTTTTACCATAGTAATCACAAATCAACCATGGTTTTGCTATACTACCTAGTTTAACCATAGTATCTATAGTAAATCTGTGGTTATAAATATGATAATCAATACACCAAGGACAGTGGTAACGGAATTTTTACTATAATCAAACGATGGTTAGCTTTCATAAGGGTAGTGCAGGGTAAACCTGTCACTAATATGATATCCTTCAATAACTTCAACCATCCTAACAGTCCATCATTCACAAAATCAAGTTCCACCTTACATTTTTTCCCCATTTTCAAGGAGCTCTTTAACTTGAATACATGCCACATAGAAAAGGAAAGACTGGCACAACTTTCATGCTAACTTTAAATCACATAGGACATAGGCTTGGACCTCAAGTATGACTAAAATATTTTTCCATAAAGAAAGCCCTTGACTGCGTTTATCTTGGGTTTTCCTCGAGAGCCATCTGTTTTGGTCATAACTCACAAAGCACTTAGTGAAATACTGAAATAACTTCTTTATGGTGTAGTCATCAGTGAAGCTGCCGTCCTGAAGTCTGAATATCGTCATATGACAGACCTTGAGTTGGTCAGACCCAGTTCATCTCCACAATAACACTGTAGCCTAGAAAAACATTCAGAATTGTCCACTTCTATCTGAATTTTAGCATGTGAAAGGTTCTGATCGAAGTCATTGTGCTAATAAATGCCACATAAAACACCCTAATAGATTAACTCAAACTGACAGAAATAGAACAATCACACTGTAAAGACTGACCTGCTTAAACAGGTGCAGTTTGTGCACGTTGATTGCATGACCTGCGTTTACAATTTGATTCAATGCACTGCAAAATACTTCATCCAAACAAAGTCTTCTGTCTTATTTGGGTCAGCAGTAAAACCCTGTCAACTGTGGGTCCTCATTCTCTGTAAAATTTCATGTGAAGAAGAAAAGACAATAAAAATAATATTTGCAAGGCTGCCAAAACACTATCAGGAATGGCAAATAAGTCTGTATGCACTAAAGTTTGGGGTCAGTAAGATTAATAACAATTTTTAAGCACTAAAGCGATATATATTCATTAGATTAATAATGTTGGATTAAGCATAGGATTACATTACGCTACATTATTATAAGAATTACATTTCAAATAAATGCTGTTGTTTAGAACCTTCCATTAATATACATTTTATTTGTGTTTTCTGCAAAATTAGTAGTACTGATTTCAACATTGATAATAAATATTGTTAATTATATAATAGATGATAGAACACATATTTGCATATTTTGGTGACCTTTAAAGAGTTGCTGATTTTTCTGCTTTGACAGGATTACATTTAACCGTACAGTCATATAGAAAGGCATTACTGTAAATTGCAATATTCTCCCTCAACAGGTCGCACTTTATATTAAGTGGTCTTAACTACTATGCACTTGCATTAAAAAACACATCAGGTGCTTTTAAAGTGGGATAAGGGTAGGTTTAGGGATAGGTTTGGTGGTATGGGTAGGTTAAAGGGTGAGTTAAGGTGTAAGGGATGGTCAACAGTGTAATTACAAAAGTATTCAGACATCCCAAGTCTGCCGGAAGTTGCGGGAGTATCCCTGAAATGCATAGACACTCCAGGATGCCCGCAAAGGAATGATAATCTCCCGGAAATCGCGCGTCTCCGGCCCGGTCCTTAAATATGTTGCACACCCCTCTCTCCACTGCATCCCTACTAGCTCTTCAGGTACGTCGCGCGCAACTCACCCCCACCGATCTTAAAGTATGTCTCGCACGCACACGTCCCCCTTCATAGATACGTCGCTCACAACTCAAACCCCCCCGCCCCCCGCCACGGCTCTTCGAGCACCCACTAATCCGCTACCTCCCACAAATCAACTCTGTATCCCCCGGAAATTTACTTTTTCCAACTTGGGATGTCTGAGTATTAATTACCGGAATTAATTACAAATTTGTTTTAATTACAGGTATTTAGTCAATCATAAGTTCAATTTAAAAATATGTGTTTGCAAAACAAATACATTGTAACAAGTTATAAAATTTCGGTATAAGTACGTATTAGCCAAGTCCCTTAAAGGAAGGTCATTTCCCTGAATGGGAAAACATCAAATTGACCCTTCACTAAGCGCTGCCCTGCTTAGTTTTTGTTGTTAGGCCTGTCAAGCTTTCATGCCTGGTATGTCTATTGCAATATAAAATAAGAACCATTGTTTTTCTTGTGAAATTCCCAATATGTTTGATGTGTCATGACCCTCTTCCTATTAAAAAATACTGAAGTTGGATCCAAGATGGCTGACTTCAAAATGGCCACCGTGGTCACCACCCATCTTGAAACATTTGTCCCCTCACCTATACTAATGGGCCACAAACATGATGTTAATATCACCAACCATTCCCATTTTATTAATGTGTAATCATATAAATGGCCCACGCTTGTACAGTAGTTTAGAAATCTTTACCAATGACCAATTTTCCAGTATTGCATGTTTTAATAAAAACAATTTCTGATATTACCTTGGTCAAAAATGCCTGTAACCAACCAAGCAGGGTCACTGAAAGAAACGTCATTTTCTACTTGCAATTTATAAGCATGTTTAACCCAACAGAGCCACGTGCAGCTGAATATTTCAAAGCAGTGGAAAAAAGGTAAGCTATATAATCTGTACAAGACTATAGAGACAGTACCATGGCTGCAGAAATAACGCCTTGAACTGTAAAAGTTGTCCAGAAATACTGTAAACTGCCAAAATAGAGCGCTTTAATCATCAAAATCATCATCATCAATGCATTTTCAGCTTGCATCACCAGCACTAACCAGACAGAATCAAAATGTACAAACATTACTAAATGATTGTGTTAATATCCCAATTCACTCACCCTCTGGGTCGAGCTGAGAGGTACTTTGACTCTTCTTCCCCAGTCCCACCATGGCAGCCATCTTGGCTCCAAAACTGGAGCGCCTCTTCTTGTCATCATCATCGTCGTCGTTCCTGCCCAGCGAACACATGTCTCCACCCACACTGGAGCTCTTGGTGATGTTGGAGCCGGGGGTCGCCGTCTGAGCCCTGTGTTTCATTTTAGATGTAAACTCACTGTCAGCCATGTCACAGAAAGAAAAAAAGAAGTGGAGGACAGGGACAGGAAGAGAGAGAGGAAAGGACAGGCTTTAGGAGCTACGGGATTTAGGAGCAAAGGTGAAGGACAGTCACACTGGCACAACATCACCGGGATGGGACATCTACTGGAGAGAGCTTCTAGCATCTTTAGCTGTGTCCAAAACCAGTCACTCATTCACTAATATGTAAGTAATTAAATATAGGCAATTGTTATCACAGGTTGTTCAATGGCTGTCTGGAATAAAACATTCTAATTGGACAGTCTCAAAACTCCAATGTACACTACCTGACAAAAATCTTGTCAACTTTCCAAGTTTTAGGAACAATAAATAATAACTCGACTTCTAGTTGATTATTTGGTATCAGATGTGGCTTAAATGAAAGACAAAGACCTCTAAATTATGCTTATTTTACAAAAACATGCCTTGATTTTTAATTAAGACATTAAGGTCTGACTTGCTTGGATGAAAGTTTTGTCACTTAGCAGAAATAATGCACAGTATAAAATATAAAGTTATGGTGCAGTGGTAAAAGAATTAATATAGTTTATATGCCTCCCATGAGATTGGACAACTGCATCTACATCTCTGCAATGACTCTAATAACTTATTAATAAAGTCATCTGGAATGGCAAAGAAAGAGTTTATCAAGATTCTTTGGATTCATCTTCAATGCCTCCTCATTCATCTTACCCCAAACATGCTCAATAATGTTCATTCTGGTGACTGGGATGGCCATTCATGGAGCACCTTTACTTCTTTGTTTTCAGGAACTTTAATGTGGAGGCTGAAGTATGAGAAGGAGCACTATCCTGCTGAAGAGTTTGCCCTCTAAAATGGTTTGTAATGTAAAGGGCATCACAAATGTCTTGATACCTCAGGCTGTCGATGTTGACATCTCTGCAGATCTCTCGCACACCCCCATATTAGATGTAACCCCAAACCATGATTTTTCCTTCACCAAACTTGACAGATTTCTGTTAGAATCTTGGGTCCATGCGGGTTCCAATCGGTCTTCTGCAGTATTTGTGACTATTAAGATCATGATGAATCAAGATGATTCATCAAAAATATCTACCTCCAGACACTTTTCACTTTAGACGTCAAGTTATTATTTGTTGCTCTAACAACTGGGAGTGACGACAAGAGTTTTGTCAGGTAGTGTATGTTATTTAGAGATAAATTACCTCTGAAACTAATACCACAGGAGGATCTTCTGGGTACTTTTTTTTCATGTCCATAATAATGTTTGTTTGTCTTGCTGCTGTTTTTTAATGTTTGGCGCCATATGAATAATTGCTAAATAAAGTGTAGGTTAGTGTATACTCCATTCAGTCATTTTCATTTCAGTCAACCTTGCCATTAATAAAGGACTAATAAACTATCATGCCTCAGAACAATGTTTTGCATCTATTTTGTGTGTGTGTGTGTGTGTGTTTGTGGGAAGTACTAGCCATGTAAAAATTGGGATAAAATACATCTAGGCATTTTTTTAATTAAGCCCTTCAGACTTATACAACATCTATATTTCATCTATATTTTAAAAAAATGTTTAATCTAGCATAGCTTGCAGAAAGGTCACCTACAGTATGTAAAAAGATTGCATTATGAAGTATTCCTCCACAAAGGCACAGTTTGCGGTAGCTTATATAATGGCCTATTTAGGTGGCATGATACAAGCTCTGGAGTCAAACAAGGAGAAAATAATGAGCCGGTGACTCATCAAACACAATCTTTCTCTGCTGCTGAGAAAATGTGAGCAGATGTCTTTAGGCTACAAGCATGGGATTGATTCAGTGAGCCAGTGACCTGTCTGACTAATAGAAACGAGAGGCTACTTTCTGTGAATGCCAAGTTTTTAGGTTAAATTCTTTCATGCTGTGTAAGGAGGTTTGCATCCTTTAGACGAAAACACTATCGAAGATTTACAGCTCTGTTAACACAGAGTCTAAACATTTCTACAGCTGTGACGAAGAGGATGAAGCGGTTTCTAAGGCAACTGTCTCTTCAACCCTCGGTTTAGCTCTGAATTTTAAAGTCTTCATCGGGCAGGATCATTTGACATTAACTGCTGTAACACTAAACAGACTGACTCAATTGTACAGTACGTGCTATTTATTATTTTTAAATTTGCCTCTGCCACTTAAATCTGCTTCATATGTGGATATCAACAGGCTTATGAGATCCTATTATGGAATCTGTCACAGAGCTATCAGAATCTTCTTAGAATATCTCAAACAAGCTATATTCTATTCCTGAAATACCGTACGTGGATAGTTTTTGTGCCAAAGGAGATATTTTAATACAATTTCCACTTAATATATAGCATCTCTTTGAGCTTGTTAAAGTTAGCTTTTTTTTACAACTGTTGCAAACTTTATTCATTCATTCATTTTCATTTCGGCTTAGTCCCTTTATTAATCTGGGGTCTCCACAGCGGAATGAACTGCCAACTCTTCCAGCGCATGTTTCACGCGGTAGATGCCATTCCAGCTGTAACCCATCATGGGAAATGTTTATACAAACTCATTCACACACATACACTTTGGACAATTTAGCCTTGCAAACTTTATAAAAATGATTTTAAAAAATCCTCTAAAAGTTAAAGAGACAAAAAATCAATACAGTAAAGTTCTTTCATCATTTATTCACCCTTGACTTGTTTCAAAACAGTTCATTTTGTTATTCCGTTGAACACAACAGATAATATACACTGAAGAATGTTGGAAACCTGCGACCATTGACTTCCATGATATTTGTTTTGCCTTTTATGGATGATATGGTTACAGGTTTTTAACATTCTTCAAAATATCTTCTTTTGTGTCCAACAGAATTGTAAAAATCCAAATGGTTTGGAACAAGTCAAGGGTGAATAATTTATAACAGAATTTTCATTCATCTCGTTAAGATCAGACTGCAATATTAGGAAACAAATATTGGCTTTATCTAATACAGAGCTGTGTGAGCTTCACAAAGTCTGAAAGAATACAAAATTTGACACATTTTGCTTTTTACTAATTCTTATTGTGTCTTAGAATGTAAACATCACAGCTAATTTTGTCGTCTTTCTGGACTAGATCGATCGATTTGAGTTTCATGTGATTTGACTTCACATGATGTTTATTTTTATATAAATACAGTTTTAATGTCTAATGGCATAACCATTCATTTATTTAAGGCTGGGTGGCAGTTTAGGGCAGTAAATTCTTCATGGCCTACTGTTCAAAAGTGTGGAGCCTTTTTTATTAATAATGTATTATTCAAAATAAATCATTGATAACAACAGGAAAGTTTCCAGAGAAATAAGTCAACATATTAAAATTATTTATAAAGAATCATTTGACACTGAAGAGTAAAACCTACACTACCTGACAAAAGCCTTGTCGTCAATCCCAATTAAAAGAGCAACTAATAATAACTTGACATCTAGTTGATTATTTGGAAAAGTGGCAGAAGGTAGATTTTTTGATTAATCATCTGTTGAACTGCATCCCAATCATCACAAATATTGGAACCCACATGGACCCATGATTCTTACAGAAATCAGTCAAGTGTGGTGAGGAAAAAAAATCATGGTTTGGTGTTATGTTGAGTATGGGGAGTGCGAGAGTTTTGCAGAGTGGATGGCAACATCAACAACTTGAGGTGTCAAGACATTTGTGCTGCCTATTGCATTACAAACCAAAGCATAGGGCAAATTCTTCACTAGGACAGTGCTCCTTTTGATGCTACAGTTTTCACATCAAAGTTCCTGAAAGCAAAGAAGGTCAAGGTGCTCCAGGATTGGCCAGCCCAGTCACCTGATATGAACATTGCATTTCTGGGGTAAAATGAAGGAGGAGGCATTGAACATGTATAATAAAATCTTGATGAACTCTGGGAGTCCTGCAATCATGCTTTCTCTGCCATTCCAGATTAATATTAATAGGTTATTAGCATCATTGCAGGAATGTATGGATGCGGTCCTCCTAGCTCATGGGAGTCAAAGACATTAATTCTTTTTCCACTGCCCCATGACCTTATAACTAGAGGCCTTTGCCTTTCATATAAGCCACTAGTGATACCAAATAATCAACTAGAAGTAATTATTTGTTGTTCCTAAAATTAGGAAAGGCCAAAAGACTTTTCTCAGGTTATGTACTTTAGAAAATTTCAGTTTTACCATCAGTAAATAGATTAAATATATATTTTATTAGAAAACCTTGTAATGCTAATTTTACAGCATCATTTTTGCTGTATATTTAAAATTAATGAATGAATTAATGAATGAATTAATGTATAAATAAATAAATAAATAAATAAATAAATAAATAAATAAATAAATAAATAAATAAATAAATAAATAAATACTGGATTAGATATAAATTATTGCAGGGTTACAGTATCATTGTGCAACACTGTTTTTCAGTATTCGACCATATTATCGTATGACCTGATAAAAGAATGTGTATTGAGGATAATTTTCTCAGACAAAACAAACGGAAGTGGTGGGTGGCAGAAGGACTTGGTCATCTCTCTTCACATGACAAAGAAGGAGTAAGGCTAATTGGTTCTTTAATGAACCACCTCCAGCTCTTTACAGGTTTTTGTGGAAACTCTACAAAGATAAAGAACGTTTTCGCTTCTGCTGTTTGGGCCAAATCTAATAATTGTGCATTAAAGCACAATAAACTGACAGGAAATTACCTTTCCTGACTACAACAGACAGCCTTTGACTCCATGAATGAGATTGTCTCTCATTAACCCGTTATGAATGACCATTGTACTGTATTGTCAAGCAGAAAGAGGATTAAAGGATTTTCAAGAGTGCTGTCGCTGCTTTGACTGACTAATAAAAATGCAGTCTACGATGCTCAACATCTGTACGAGACCATAGAACTCTGGTTATGTAAGAATTCACGCTACTGCAGTTGCTAATTGGTGAAATATTCAGCGAATATCATTAAAATTCTACTTTATCTGCTGTAGCATTTTAATGATCACAAACACTTCATCTATATTCAATTAGTGACCCACAAATGGTACAGAAATGTCTTGAAGTGTAAATCTCAGGAAATGCTTGAGAACATAAGGGTGTTTTTTCTTGTTTTTTGCTCTAATTGGGAAGAAGACGGCAGCTGTTCCTGCGACACTCTCCAGGGGTTACAGATGACACTGGTATTATGTAAGACACAAAATCTTTCGAGACAATATGACAAATTTTAGGGCAGTGGTGAGAAGGGTTATCAAGAACTAGCAACACAAAACTGAATGACAAGTTATGTACACTGAAAAATGTTAAAGAAGTGCATCAACTATTTTAAAGGCAATTTATATATATATATATATATATATATATATATATATATATATATATATATATATATATATATATATATATATATATATATACTGTAAAAAAATCTTTTAATGTTTCCATCTTTTGTGATTTTCAACTATTTTCTGCTTATTTACAGTTGTGAATTGCATAATGGGATGTTGATCTCTACTCTGTCAACTTTTGATGTTGGAAATTCAACTCTACCTTTTAATAAAATGACCTTTATTGACCTTTTTTGTTGTTTTGAAATAATAGATTATAGTTATAGATATAGTTTTCTCCAGGTGCTCCGGTTTCCCTCACAGTCCAAATACATGCGGTACAGCTGAAGTGAATAAATTAAACTGGCCTTGGTGTATGTGTGTGAATGTGAGAGCGTATGGGTGTTTCCTGATGTTGGGTTGCAGCTGGAAGCACATCCGCTGCTTAAAACATATGCTGGAAAAGTTGGCGGTTCATTCAGCTGTGGTGACCCTTGATGAATAAAGGCACTAAGCCAAAGGAAAATGAATGAATGAATATAGAGAATCAAGTCTGTAAAGTAAGAGACAATGTACTGGCAGTTTTTTACCAGGTTTTTGTACCATAATTTTTAACACCAACCCCGACAATATACCACTATTTACTACTAAAACTGTAAATAAAAGTCACATTCTCAAACTTTTCAACGTTAAAAGTTGTTGCAAGAAAGATAATAATTCAACAATCCCATAATCAATTCAAAAGTATAAATAATCATAAATCAAGGGGGGTAAAAAAATCATAAATCAAGAGAGTTTAAGCAGCGCCAGTTGCTTTTGCTTTAACCAGTCTTTAAACGGATTATTTATGGATTTATGGATATATATTATTTAACAGATTATTTTACCTGCTTTCTTTTACATTAATATGGTTTAATTATCTTGTTTTTTTTACAATAATATTGCTTTAATGGGACATTAACTCTCCATTTATGTGTAGTTAACAGGTGATCTGGGACCTTTAGCCAGGACATGTGACAGTGCATATGTTTTGTTGAATAAAAAGTATAGTATTCAGCTGTATTTTGCTAGTTTTAACACATTTAAAATTTGTGGCTAAGAAATAATTAACTGTTTAAGTATGGTGTGGTCAGAGATAAATTTTATAAATCCATCATTTTGGGCTCTGAAAATTATGTGAAATTAAAACTAATTGTAACATATGAAACCCTGACCCATTTGCTCATGATTATTGAGCAAGCTCATACACAACACACAAAAAGTGAAATGAATGAAGAGGCATGTAGAGATAACGCAAACTCTACATCAAGTAATTTTAGCATATCAAAGTCATATTTATGTGTATAAAATATATCTTCCCAACAATAAAATTGTGGCTAGTGAAAATGTCGAGTGGCTAGTACTGTTGGAAAACTACTAGCCACAGTGGCTGGTGATCAAAAAAGTTGTGTCAAGCCCTGATTGTAATTATTATGACACGCCTAATTTTCCATATAATAAATGTAGCTAATTGAACTTAAGAACAAAAAATAAAATAAAATAATAATAATATTATTATAATAATACAATAATATATATAATAATAAACACAATATATATATATATATATATATATATATATATATATATATATATATATATATATATATATATATATATATATATATATATATATATATATATAGGCTTTATCATTGTATTAGTTAATTTTAGTTAATTGCTTTGTGAATTTATCTGTCAAACCAAAATAATAATAATTATATCGGATATAATATTTATATCGGATAGGTTCTGGCAACCACAGCTCCATTTTTTAAGGGATTGATCACCTAAAAAGGAACATTTACTAACTATTTATTCATCAACAAATGTTCTAATCTTTATAAATCTTCTTTATTTTGTTGAAAACTAACTATACTGTATATTAAAGAAAGCTGAAAACATGTAACAATTTACATTCAATGTAAGAAAAACAACTAAAATAAAAGTCAATAGTTACATATTTCCAGCTTTCTTAAAAATATCGTCTTCATGTTCAAGAAAAGAATAAGTCAGGTTTGCGATGAATAAAGAGTGAGTAACATTGTCAATTTTAAGCACTGTGACTATGGAAGAACATAAACTTACAACTATAAACATTTCCATTTTAAGCGTTTTCTTGCCTCTATTTACAGTAGTTCGATTTAGTGACACAGTGACAGGGAACATTAGCTATGGACAATAGCTAGATGACACTAAGTTGGTAGGGATCAACTTATTAACACTAGTTGTAGGATAATTGGCCAGTTGTATAGGACTATTTTCCTCTAACCTCTCAGGTTCCTCCTCTTCCTCCTCCTCCTCTGGATGCTCAATAGACCTGCCTCCCTCCCCTTCAAGCCCCGCCCTCTGTACACTGGCTGTAGATGCCTCAACCAGCTCTTCCACAACAACAGTGCCCTCTTCTCCCTGACTCTGAAGTGCCTCTCCACGACTGATAAACATATACACACACACACACACACACACATAGACGGACACACAGACACATAAACAATGCCGTGACACCAAGAAAGGAAGCATGCAAGAAAAAGACAAAAAAAAGACAGCCATGAGCCTGACAGACATGCAGATGATGTAAATAAAATATTCTGATGACAAAATAATAGTATAAAACTGTGAAGTCAAACAATGGCAATAAAGATTAAACAGTGATGCCATCTCAATTTGACAAAAACAGTCAAAACTTGTCCGTTTCATACTTCATCACCAAATTTGTAAATTCATATATTCATATATTTGATTGAGCAGAGATTTATAAAAAGTGTCAAATCTTTTGAATTGATAAAAATAAAATCTTAGTTATATTTATAATTCTGAAGGTTCATGTGATACTGGAGATGGATTAACCACAATGTGATATTTTGAACTTTAGTTGATGTGTAATGTATTTGATGTGTGATGTCGATTCGGCTAAAAAAAAAACTCTTCAAAGAAGGAGCAGCTACAATCATAATAGACAAAGCTATGGATTGTGAGCCACAACCTGTAAGTATTTTTATTTGTTAAAATTGATCAATTACATGCACAGTTTCTAACTTTTACGCTATGTTGTAGTAAGGACATAAACAAGGATGTAAACACCGCTTTGGCACCGCTTACAAATTATCTACTGTATTTATCCGTCAAACCACTGTAAACACCCATAACCTTTACCAGTGTCTCTCTATGCAGCTGCTTTCCCCGTGCTCTACATCTTAAATAACAAACTTGCAAAAGATATGTGAATGTTTCATATTACTTACATATGCTTATAACCTGAATATATGTGAAAGACACTTGTAAGATTTTATTTTCGAGAGCTGGCGTGAGGTTCATCTGTGTCCTCTGTCTGATTCAAGCACAAACTGATACGGCTAACAGCTACTCTGACTTGCAGTATTTACAAAATCGCGTGCTTGAAGGGGTGTGATGCTTTTCCTTGAGACGTGGAGCTGATCCGCTAATCACAGATCATTTGGTTAGCTGACCAATCAGAGCCTCTTGATGGCAGCTTTTCAGAGAAACTACGAAATATAACAGTCGTTTTCATGTTTGCTGAGCTGTATATAATCAAAGTAAGATACATGAACAAATACCGTGATTTTCAACAAATGAAGTATGAGCACACATTGCTCTGCATCTTATAAACACAACAAAGCCTTAAAAGTACACTCTAGACCAGGGGTGTCAAACGTACGGCCGGATCAGGCCCGAAAACAGGTTAAATGCAGCCCGCTACATGATTCTGTAAAAATAAAAACAAGCTGCAATTTTTCAATAAAAGAAGCTGCTGTTCCAATTGTGTCCACTGGATGGCACAACTGCAAATAGTTAATTTCATCCGATAAAGCAGGGATTCTCAACTGGTGAGCCGTGGCCCACTAGTGGGCCTCAGGCAGCGATCCTGCAGGTGGGCCGCGAGAAGTAATGCACTTTCTTCTGTTCTGTGATGGATTACTTCAAACTCATGATTGCGTCTGCAACTAGTAGGCAACATGCAAGTCTGTTTATTCGCAAACTATGTGTGAATTGAAAGTGAAAGTCTCTCTTTGTGTATTTTTGTGTGAACTATTTAATATATCTGTACAGTTGTACAAATTAATGTCCTGTAAGTGTTTTAGAACGGACGCATGCCCATACAGGAGGATCTAGCGAGGCTTAATGGTGTTTCTGCTATAAATAAACTGGCCTATGAGTTTCAGACACATTCTAGCAGAGCTGTTCACTGTTCCTGTCAGCAATCTCCTAATAATATCCAGCTGCAAACTCAACCATTATCAGATTGATGGGTTTTAACAGATTTAGGGTGTTTTACTGTATTTTACATGGGTCTGTATATTTTTGAAGTAGATATTTAATAGTAAATACTCAATCAGTTCAGTTTAAAGCAGAAGCTGGTACCTTGCAATCTCCCTTTTGACCTTTGGTTCTTTTTGAATTTGTGTATGTTAAAAAAATAAATAAATAAATAAATAAAATAAATAAATATATATATATATATATATATATATATATATATATATATATATATATATATATATATACATATATATATATATATATATATATATATATATATATATATATAGTTTTAAAATATAATATATATTATTTAGTTTTAATTTAATATATAATTCAATTTAAATAAAATTACATATATTTTTTATAAAATATTAATAGAAAATAATAGAAGACACAACAAATTAATTATGTATATACTGTATTTGATCAAATAATTCCTGCCTGAATAAACATAAACGTCTTCTTTCAAAAACATTTGTAATATTTTTGCACATTTTACACGCTTAATTTACCAATCGCTAAAACAGTCGTCTATATATATTGCATAACAGTAATTAGAATTTGTTTGAAAAATAAAAGTTACCCTTTTGATGCTGGGATGAAATATGAATTGGGACATTTTTTTATGAAATTCACTTGTACAAAGTCATGTGATGTCATCTCAGTCATTGGCCACTCTCAGCAAGTTCAGAGGTTTGGTTCATATACAAGGCAAGCAGAGCCAAACCTGAACTCAGCAGAAGTGCAGTGGGTTTGACCAGACTGAAGAGACATCCACATGAGAGCTCAGAGACTTTAGTGTGTTTACCTGATCTTGCGGCTCGCTCGCACTCTTTCTGACTGGACAGACATGTAGCTCGTGCTGCTAAGACGAGACGCACTCGACATAGCGGACACGTCGCTTACATCACTGTCCGATGACCTCATGGAGAGGCTGTCCATCCCACGCTGTGAAACAAAAAATAAAGGATTATTGTTATATTCAAAACAAATTTACTCCAAGTTGCAGGCTTGCTTCACAGATAAGCTATGGGGTCAAATTCTGAGATTGTGTCACCATTGGGCTGTCTTAATTGTGTATCTATTAGCCAAGTGTACAAACTAAATCTATGAATTTAAAATATGCCTAGTGGAAACACAATTTTCAGTAAAGTTTTTTAAAATATCAGCAGTTTTCAACTCCATCAGCAATCTAGGGTGCTTTGAGATATTTTACTGACTTGCATTATTTACAAATGATACGATGGAAGCCTCATATTTCAGGCAAAATAATTAATCTGTCCTTACTGTAGAACATGTACAGTTATTAAAAAAGATGTTTAGGCAGGCAGCTCAGAAGACTCAATAGATGATAGCATTGTTTGATTGCATTTACACAACAATGATGTAGCCAAAACTCAAAGAGTTTTTATGAGTTCAACAAAGTTTAAAGTTCAATGAGTAGTTGTAGTGTGTGTGTGTCTGGTGTTTTCCTTTCTCTCTCTCTTGCTCTTTCTCTCTCATTTTCAATTATTCGCAGATGCAGTGGATTACGGCAGATCACGATTGGTGCTTGGATTGGTGGTGGCCATATTTAAAACACAGGAGAACATTGATTCCTCAGCTCCCCACCATCTCTCTCTCTCTCTCTCTCTCTCTCTCTCTCTCTCTCTCTCTCTCTCTCTCTCTCTCTCTCTCTCTCTCTATATATATATATATATATATATATATATATATATATATATATATATATATATATATATATATATATATATATATCGATTCCTCTCTTATTATTGTTTGTGGCTTAACCCCTCCCGATGTCATTTAGCTCTATATTTTCTGTAAATAAATATTTATTTTCTTGCTAATTCTCAGTGGTTTGGTTTATATTTTGGGGAGAGGGAGCACGTTGGCTCCAGCGACTATAAGCCTTGTTATCTTGTTACGTCTTGGTTAAACTTCTTTTGATTAAGGATTTTAAACAGCACCTGTAGGGAAGTTAAGAAATGCTGTCAGTGGATCAGCGCTTGTGTCTATGTATAATTTGTCTCCATTTTGTTAGTACTGAGATACAGTATAAATCAACACTTTGCTGATAGATTGTTGTCAAACACTGCAACAACACTACTATCACGTACTTTGCCTTTGTTGTCTATGTCTTTTTTTTTTTGCACTTTGTTTTGAAAACTGAAATCTTTTTATTAGTTTTTCACACAGATCAGGCTAAAATTGACAAATTTGCTGTAATACATGCCAAGGCGTTGGATGGCAACATTTCTTTGTAAAGGGACACTGTGTAAACAATCATTGTCAGGATAACAACAGGTTAACCTTAGGATAACATGATTGTGTGTACACAGACACACTGGGCTCTATTTTGATGATTCATGCTCAAAGTGCAGGGTGCAAACACATAAAGGGCGTGTCAGAATCCAGTTTTGCTATTTTAAGGACAAAAAAATAAGCTTTGCGCTGTGGCGCATGGTCTAACAGGGTTGAGCTTATTTTCTTAATGAGTTATAGGTGTGTTTTGAGAACAAACCAATCAGAGTCTCACCTCCCATTCCCTTTAAAAGTCAGTTGCGCCGCACCATAGCGCATTTGCTATTTAAATGGCGGACTTTGTAAGTGTAAAAACTGAACACTTCACTAGAGAGAAAACAGTTAAACAGAGCTTCTACAGCACAAGAATGAGAGATGAGCCTCCTCATTGTCTACTTTCTCTTTTACTCTCGTGTATAGGGAAACGTGTTGTACGCACAGACATCTATTAGCCTATACATAATTAATTTAGTTTGTTAAGCGCAAAGATTTGTTTCTACACTATTTCTAAATTCTGTTCTAATTTCAAGCAAACAAATAAATGAACAACATTAACGAAGTGTGGTCAAAAAACTAGAGTTATATCCTAATACACATGCTATGCCCCATATGGTCCAAAACCTGACAGGTGGGCAAATCTAAGTTTGTTTTTAATAAAACAAATATAAATATGCATATCCTAAAAAATATTAACATTATACAAAAGCAAGTTGTTATGAATAAACTGAAAAAGCCCCCTAAGATGAAGAAGGCAGGAAAGTATGGTTTTTATAATCATGTAGGCTAGAAACTAATATTTTTTGTAATATTCTAATCCTTTAATTCTTTTTCATTTGTAAACATTATTTGAGTATTGCTGTACACCCTGTGTGTATTAAGCAATGTGTAAGCGAGGCACACAACTAACGCGCTCTGCTCTGAACTATAGACCTGATTTGATCTGTTCTATTGAACAGTCTATTTAAGCTCCTCAAAATAGCATATGACATTGCCATCATCTGGCCTGGATGCACAATACTGCTTTTTAAAGTCTATTTAGTGGATGCATGTAAATGGTCACAATTCCTAAATACCATTTAAATGCTAATATTTTCAAAAACATAAAGGTAAAAAAAATGTTCCGCATAACATAACATAAACAAAAATTAACATAAAAACAGTATAATATGAAATTAATAAAAAACAGCCCAGAGTGCTTCAGCATGACATTCACAGAAGCAATTAACCTTTAAATACATCAGAAAATAAACACAAAACCTGATACACTTTAAATTTGTCACATCACCAGTGATCTAATCCAGGCAGATCCCACAGATCCCATAGAACTACAAATCCGCCATTATACGGACTACAAAATCCAGTCATGCACTGCACACAAACACCGGTTTCTAATCCTGGCTGATTGCTAACACACACTCTTATTGAGTCTTGTTATACTGTTAGTGAACACCACGACGTGGTTTCCTTGCCTTGCCTTCTGTTCTTGAACCTTGCTTTGTTTTTTTATGTTATCTGCTGCCTGCCTCTTTTGACCATCTGCCTGTTTATTGACAATGACTCTGGATTGCCCGTATACGTCTTTTTGCTCCTGTGTTGATTGTTGCTTGCCTGACCATTCTCTGCATAATAAACCCTGCATTTAAATCTGCACGTCCTTGGTCCAGCGTCCCCTTTACATTACAAAATTATAAAATCTAATAGCTTCAGAAACAAAAGTAAACCCATATCTATTAGATGAACATCTAAGGCTTTGAATTCTTAAATAGCACTATAAATCATTTATAAATCATCAGTAAATCATCTTAATTATTTAAAGGCAGTGGATTTATTTAGGGTTTTAAGTTAAGTCAACAAACTGCTTTGGGAAATTAAGAGTTTACTCAAAAAAACAAATAGATTTTTACAATGAGGTCAATACTTTAAAATATACATTCAAAGGATGAAAGTCATCTCTGTCATTCTTTAGATTTTTCATAGCATTTGCTGCTCATAGAACTCTATTATACTCTAAAATTTTGGCACAAGTCACAATCTTTAGAGTAAATGTGCCCTATTTTGCCTAAAAAAAGTCACAAATGCCATATTCTAGACCACACACACACCCCCAACTGATTAAAAAGTGGGAATTACATAACTTGCATTATTTATCAAAAGAATTGAGAGGACCAACCAATGTGCTCGAGGTAAGCCTAGTGACATATGCATGAATTATGGTAAATAGAGTACACGTGCCTCTGCAGGAGACAGGAAGAAGACCGTCTGAAGACAGATCTGTTATATAACTACAGATGTTCTCCAATAGTAAACTAAACACCTGTCCTGACAGTATATTTCAGAAACATGGGTTTGACAGGTACTTGACACTTTATGTAACCATGAGGAACTGCTTGTGAGTGCTTAAAACAGTGTCTATGTGACAGCCTATATATTGTCATAAGCAGGTATAACAAACTAAAGCAACAAACAGTAAATCCGTAATGTTAATAAGAGCGTTTTTGTTTTTATTAACTTTATCCAAAACAACAAGCGATTAGATACTGGCCATGTACACACCACAGCAAAATTTGGCTGTCAGCTAATATTTTAGTGCTAAATCAGGTTCGACACTGTTTTGTGTTCACTGAGTTTGGGAGTAGAAACTGCTATAGACCATTTTGAGGCATGTAAACAAAAACAATAATCCCAATGGATGCCCTGTTTTACATTTTTCAGAGAATCCAAAAAGAACTACATATTGATAAATAATGTTGAGATAGCTGTTTTAACATTAAGTTATGATTGAATTGCCTCTTGTTACAGTTATGAAATAGTTTGGTAGCGACCAGGAAATGTTCAAGGGCCAATGACATGACCACATTGAAGTGGTCTAAAACTTTGGATGAATTAATAAAAAAATGCAAGCAAACGCATTAAATATGCACTCTGTATGAAACCAAACAGAACATCTAGTTATTAAAAATGTACTTAAACATATATCAAAGTTGTCTTTCTTTAGTAGGAACATTACAGACAAAAGTTAAGTCTTCAAAGTGCTGCCAAAGCTTGCCCTCACAATCAGCATAAAAGAACAAGCATCAATAAATCTAAATTGTTTTATAAAAAACATAAGACCCATGCAAATATTTTGCACCTGCCTACTTTAATAAATCCACAAACTTTTTAATAAATGTTGCTTATCATTAGAGGACATGGCAACACTTTAAGTAGTAGGCCTCCGTCGGTCAGTGTTGACCATGGATGACGTATCCTAGCTCTTATCTTGAGGCATGACTGATTGTCTGAGACAGTGTCGTTGGTGGTAGTTTAAATAATGGTAGTTTAAATAAAATTACTGACATTATGAGTCCTTGGACGCTATTAAATTAAATTAAATTTGATTTGCTTCGATTCATTTAAATCCAAATTATTTCAATTCAACTCAATTCAATTCAGTTCAGTTAAATTTTATAAGGGCTGGCCGATATTAAAAAAATCTCATATCAAAATATAAGTCATCGCATATCCTGATAGCAATATATATTACAATATAGTACCATTTCTGTACATTCAATCCATATATATATATATATTAATAAATAAATAAATAAATAAATAAATAAAAATAACAATGAATAAAGGAAACATACCTTCGATGGATCCTTCAACGTGCCTGTGGAAAGACAAACGGGGTTAGACATATTGAAACAAATCATAATCAAGTTGAGTATGTGAATTTGTACAAAAACACATTCAACAAACTTCAAAGCGACATACAGCGAACATCAGACAAATTACATACAGTAGACAGCATTAAAGTTGAATTGTCATATTCTCATTTTGTTCAGAAAAAAAAAAGTGTATTAACCATACAATGAACGATCACTTCTGTGGCTAAAGGAAATCACATGACCAAATTCAGACCCAAATAAACAGCAAGAAAACGTGACAAAATTAACCAGCTAAATCAAAACACTGTTTTATATACACCTGACCTGCCATCAAAATATGTGATAAAGAAAAGCAGATTATGTTTGTCATTTTAAACTTATCTAATACACTTGCATGTACTGATCTCAAAAATAACATGGGCAGAGCCATGAAAAAGAATTCTGATTTCTAAGTCTCTAAAGGATTGAACAAAAATGAAATTCTAAGTTTATCATGTACGGTATATTCAATCATGTTCAGCAACCAAACAACAAGGAACACAAACATGTTACACATATTATTAAGACATGATTTAATCACTATTGCCTCAACTGACTCAACGCACTACTATCTTTCTGAATTGCACACATAAAAAATTCAACATTAATGCAAATCTATCTAAAAGATAATACATTATATCCTATTGCTGTCAACTGCTCTTAATGACATTTAAAAAAAAACTCTTCATACAATACAGTTCAAAGGTTTGAGGTCAGTAAAATGGTTTAATGCCTTTGAAATCTTTATGTTCATCAATATTGAAATTGTTTGCTGAAAAATGAAATAAAAACACTTTTATTCTGAACTATGACAAATTGAAATAACCAAAGCTGAATATTTCAGCATGGTTATTTCAGTCTTCAGTCACATAATATTTCATAAATCATCCTAATACTGTATGTCAGTTTGCTGCTTAAGAAACATTTATTTTATTATGATCATGAATACTGGAGTGGAAACATTTATCAATTATTACCCACCTCAAATTTTTGGAATAATTATGTAGTTACGAAACATTAAAGATCCAGTGAAGTACTTTGAAATGTGCAATCTTTTATTCAATGTTTGATAGTCTCAACTGAAACATGAAGCCAGGGTGGGACCTACTATAGCTCATCCCACTATAAAAAAAAAACAACCAAAATCCAGTCATGAAAATTAACATTGAATGTTCAGAAGATTTGTTTAGAAACTAATAGTAATATTAGTTAATAGTATCGTTGATCTATTTAGGCAGAAGTGACAGCTTTGGAAGAAGTTTATATCTAAAGAATTGTCATATATATATATATATATATATATATATATATATATATATATATATATATATAACAGCGCAAACTTTTCTGTAATCGTAAAAGTGCTGTGCATTATTTGTTTAACCCTTTAAGGTGAGCTGCTGACTGGCTGACTGACAGGTGTGTGATACGTGAGGCCAGAAAATACGACATATAGGCGTTTCACTTTACTTCAGGACGCATTAATACCGCTCTGTAGGTCTATTGGAGACATTCATAAATATTCCTAGCAAATCTAATAAATGTTGGAGACATACTTGTTACATAAACGAACAATAAATTGCACTTCAGCAGTGTTTATTAGAGATTGCACAAGAAGATCTACGCTTGAGCAGCGTATATTTGAGGGGGCGTGCAAGCAAAAAGATTTGCATATATATATATATATATATATATATAAGATTTTATATATATAGTTTTTTGTGAGATTTGTTGTGAGATACATTAAAGTCTTCATGGGTAATTAAAACATCATTCTTTTTTTAACACAATGGAGATCAATAACGAATACAAAGCTGCCTCTGCCGATGACTTCAGCATGGTCTTCTAACCATCAGTCAGTGTATTTTTTTTTATTTTCATTTACAACCTGTAATTGAAGCATTTGATTTCAGTTTGATTTTTGTAGCTCAACAATAAAACAAAACCTTCTAAGATGGGATGGCGAGGCAAATTAAAATTTACCAGGGAAAGCTTTGGCCCGCAGGGCCTAGTCTGGTCATCTCTGCTTAAGATAAGACTTCTGATACTCTTAAAACAATTTTAATTTCATGGTACCTATTAACAACACTCTTTAACCCCTTTCTCAATACTACCAAACCACCCAGCAAGCATTTTTAATTTTTAAGAGATGTCTAATAGACGTCTAAATATAATCATCTTTGCTAAAACAAGGCTAAATTTGGGCTGTGACTGAAAACTGTAAAACACATGCTGGAGAAGTTGGTGGTTCATTCCGCTGTGGCGACCCCAGATTAATAAAAGGGCTAAGTCAAAAAGAAAATGAATGAATAAAAATCTAATAGATGTCTAAAGAATAGGCCAAACTAGAGTAGTCATCAAATAAACAGAATTGAATGACTTCACATATAAAGTCTGTCTAATCTGTCTATTTCACCACTAGTGTAGTTTTGGACTATTCTTAGATGTCTATTAGATTTTCACTGACAGGCCAAGTTTAGCTTTGTTTTAGCCAATACGACTATATTTAGATGTCTATTAGACGTCTAATTAACACAAAATTGTCTGCTGGGAATTAACCTTGTTTATTCCAACATACTAACACACAGCCAATTTGTTTTGAATGGCTTTACATTAGATTTAAAGTCAGCCAGTTTACAGTACCTGCATCTCCATTCTCTGACACTGTTGACTCTGACATTAATGCTGATGTTTGGATGAAATGAGAGGGAAACAGACAGTTTAAACAGACATGTGACACACAGTGATATGATGGACACGCACACAAGAAGATTTTTAGATGAATTTCAGATTCAGAAACTCATCAGTCATGCTGAATCTTTTTAAAAAAGAATTGAAAGAGGTGAGGATTCCAACACCGCAATAAAACTTCAAAGCATCAAAACAAATGACTAAGTTGTACTAAGCAAAGGTTAAAGAAGAACAAATGTGTCTCAAACACACACTACAAACACAAGCCACCATCTATGATCCCTACAACCCTCACTACTACATGCAACACTACAGTACTGCCTAACACAGCACTATGGCATTGTTGATTTACATTTTAGGTGAATCTTAAATTTAGTCACATTTTAATTATCATAATTGCCTAATTTATAAAGAAAAAAGACAATCACTAAAATTACAACAAAAAATGCTATTAACAGATTTTAAAACTTAACTTTAACACATTTTAGCACAAAAAAAAAAAAAAATTTCATAATATATATTTTTTAATCTAGGTTATTTTCTAAAACATAACTCATAAGTAGAGCCAAATGTAATCTGTGGTCATTTTATGCTATTTCTGCTGAAATTTTTGGAAAAAAATCTGCAGATTTATGTGGAATTATTTTAAGAGTATCCTAACTAAAAACTTAATATAAAAAATAATATCTTATTAACTTTTATTTAATGTTTACACTGCAAATCCATCTACATGTAGATCCTCTTAGTTGGTAAACAAAGCAAGTCTATCATAAAATATATCTGCTAAAAGATAAAAAATATTACTCTATAAACTGTATTGTAAATAAATGAAATGAACACTTTCATGTTAGTCGGTAATATTACTGAAATTAATAAAAAAAATAAATAAATAAATAAATATAAATGTACACACATATATACAAGTAAATTAATAGACTCGATGATGGGCCAAAAATCTGCAGAAATCTGTGGATGTCTACGCGCACAGGTTCCATGTGGGCCTAAGTGATAACTGGTCAGTCACTGAAAAAAGCTATCTCATTACTGAGAGAATGTAAAAAAAAAAAAAAAAGTCAATTTTGAACGTTACCATGCTTTTACAATTTTCAGGCTTTTACTTTTTATTAATTCAGTCATATGTCATATTGAGTTAAAACCTTGTATTTAATTTCTACGAACATATAAGAGGTAATAACTATCTAAGCTGTAATTATTCTATTTGAATGAATAAAAAAAATTATTTAAATCTCATTTTGGTTCAAATGAAAAAACATTTTTTATTTATTTTTAAAGTATACATTAAACTTTTGGGGTCAGTAGGATTTTTAAATGCTTTAAAATAAGCTTATCCTGGTCACCAAGGCAGCATTTATTTAATCAAAAATACAGTACACATTGTGAAATGTTATTGCGCTACAAAATAACTTTTAAATTTATAATTTAATTTAGTAATTTATTACAGTGATTTTAAAGATTTTTTAGCTTCATTACCCCAGTCTTCAGATTCACATGACCCTTCAGAAATCACTCTAACACGAATCATTGTTATTATTATTGTTATCATCATCATCATCATTATCATTATAAATGGTAATAATATTAAAAGCAATAATGACTGGACTAACAACAAGTATAAATAAATATTCAATAAATAAGTATTTAACATTTTTTTTTACATTTAATAAATGCCGCCTTGATGAACAGAATTATTTTATTTAAATTATTAAATAAATATACAATAATAATAAAAACCTGACTGCAAACTTTTGACCGATAGTGTATATTTTCCAGTTCAAAGCGTGTAACAAGGGTTAACATTTTGAAGTAACTATAACTTTCCTAAAATGATATCTCCAGTTTATTTCCCCCTTCAAAACTGAACCATGGTTTAGTTATTCATAAGGTATCAAAATGTCAGACAGATTCTAAATAGATTAGTGTGAACAGTGTGTCTCAGCATTGATATGCGTGTTAATTACTTCATCATGTAAATGAATATTAATGTGGCCTTCTACTTTGAGTTGCCATAGCAATGACAAAAATATAACAGTTTAATTCAATGTTTTCACCTTTGTTCATATGATCAATTATGAATTTGAAATACATCAACACTATTATGATGATCCTATTAATAACCACTTTTTCCATTCATAAGTCCTTGTGATTTCACTAGATGAGAGGCAACCTGATTTAATACACAAAATTAGTCTATAACACTAATCTTGTTAATATTATAAATGAATGGTTTTGATCCAGAAAACGGAAGGGGGTCTATTTAAACAAAGGCCTAACATATTTTCTTCTTAACCTATTTGAAGAGTAGTTCTGTTTTTAGATTTTTTTCCGCATCATATTTAAACTACACTCTTTTACTGCCATTATGCTTGCTGCATATTTTGAACTCTACACGAAGACATCAATACACTTGAATCAATTATTTCTGAATGATTTAATCAACACTTGACAAAAATAAGTACTTGTAGAATGTGAGATTGTAATTCATCTGTGTGTTTTTAGTATACAGTAATTTAGCACTTGAATTGCAATTGTTTTGTTATTGCTTTCTTTATCATTTTGGTAGAAGCCTTAAATAAGCCATTTGGGTTTCTGTCTCTTCCTACACATTGTGGTTTACTATGCTGTTGTATTTTATTTGTGTGTAATCTTGTTTAAATAAATAAATAAATAAATAAAATAGAACAGTTTAAGTCAAAATTTTTAGCCCCCCGTTATTTCCCCCCCAATTTCTGTTTAATGGAGATTTTAAAAAATTCAACACATTTCTAAACATAATAGTTTTAATAACTCATTTCTAATAACTGATTTATTTTATCTTTGTCATGATGACAGTAAATTACATCTGACTACTTCTTTACAGCTTAAAGTGACATTTAAAGGCTTAACTAGGTTTATTAGGTTAACTAGGCAGGTAAGAAATATTAGGTAAGTTATAGTATAGCAACAGTTTGTTCTATAAACTATCCAAAAATACAGTATATAGCTTAAAGGGGCTAATAATTTTGACCTTAAAATGTTTTAAACTGCTTTTTCTAGCCAAAATAAAACAAATAATAAGAAAAGATATTATCAGACATACTGTGAAAATTTCCTTTCTCTGTAAATCAACACTTGGGAAATATATATATATATATATATATATATATATATATATATATATATATAAATAAATCAAAGGGGGGTGGGGGGTGGGGGCTAATAATTCTGACTTCAACTGTATACTGTTGAAAGAGTGTTTAAAATAGAAATATTATACTTTTTTACATGTAATATATATATTGGAAGAATATACTTGCATTTCCATGACAATTGCAATTAAATATAAAGTAAATATAAAAAAAATATATAATATTAAATGCACTTTCTTCAACTTTAAAGTGGTTTAAGTACCAGACTTTTAAAATACATTTCATTATTATTTATGTTGTCTAATAGCCTTTATGGTCAAACTATCTCTATTAGAACTAGTTTTTCATGTTTGTTTGAAACTTTAAATTTACACATCAAAGATAAAATTATAATCAAGTTCTTCTGAAATAGGACATAAAATAACATTAAATGCAATTATCAGAACTTTTTTTTTTTCTTGGCAATTCAGATGTCTAAACTTTGTATACCAATAAAATGAAGTTTGGTAATATATGTAATTCCAACCAGCAACTATTAAATCAGTCATCGATCATTTTCTGTTTCTCTAATATTTGAATCAGTGCTGACAAGCAAACAAATCCACACTGGTTTATTACCTATTTAAAGCAACACTAAATGCATGCCAATTTTTTAACAGAGCTATAAATTACATAATAAAAGCAGCAAAAGCAAAGAGTCACACAGCAGAAGATCTAAATTCTAGATCCTTTAGAAGTGCACTAGAGTTCATCTACTCTACTAAGAGCTGGTAAAAACCACATGTTGCATCATACCAGGTATTTTCTTCTGCTGATCCTCCCATGTCACTTCTGAAGTTACAACACAAGGAGAAACTGTCAATTCTATTGACTTAGAAGAAACAAACTATTCTTTAGATATGGCACATTTAACATCACAATCAATAAACGTTACCATTATAATGTAAAAATTAAAATAATTAAATAAAAAATACTTTAGAAAAGAATTGTAATTTTTGACCACATGTCGTATGCTTCATGTATATATTTGGAAATAGTTAACAATACATTATATGGGTCAAGATAATCAATCTGTCCTTTTATGCCCAATATCATTAGAATATAAAGTATATGTAAATTTCCTATAGTGTAAATATAAACATTTCAATGTTATATTGCAATGTGCGATGATAAGCACTTCATTTAGAAATTTTAAAGGTATTGTTCAGAATATTTAAATTATTTTAGGATTTCAGACTGCAAATTTCAAGTAGTTATATCTCAGCCAAAGATTTTCTTATCCTAACAAAGTATACATCAATGGAAATCTTATTTAATCCAGATGATGTATAAATATAAATAAAAAATAGATAAAAATAAAATAAATAAATAACAACAAAAATATATGACTGCTTTTGTGGTCCAGGATCATAATTATTTCATTAAGAATCCCCTTTACATATGACACAATAATAATAATAATAATAATAATAATAATATGTCTCCAAATAAAAATAAGGCATCATTAAAACAACTTGAATATTTTTCAAGCCTTAATCTAAAAGTAGTCCCATTGAGCCATCTGCAGGTGAATAAAGGTACTCTGTATGCACATGGCTTGAAAAATACTATAACCAATTTTTTCAATAACAAAAAATAACTATATATATCATCCAGAATTAAATAAAACACCTTTGCATAACGCAAAACCAAAACATCTAAACATTTTGAATGGAACACTGCACTGTGAAAAATCCTGCTTGCCTTGATTTTTAAAGCTGAATGAAATGCATCTTATGAGTCCATTGACCTCACATTATGTTAAACTGACTTAAAACAGCTTATATAATTTATAAAATTACGTTTGAACATGATTAACTTAGTTTAATAAAGTAAAATGAAGTAAAAACTTATGCTGTCATGACTAATTGATCATATGGTTTTTTACAGTGACAATGATATCACAATCACAGTCAAATAATAAAACCCCCAAATAACTGATGAGCCATTTAACAATCCAAAAACCTAAAATATATTAAATCTACTAGCACTAGGTCTGTCCAACACAAACACGCTGTCAAACTTCCCCAAGAGCTTCACACTGTCACACACTAAGTGTTTCACAGTCACACACACACTTGCCTTTCCTCCCATTGACAGGCGGGGGAGCTACAGGCCTTTCCTGGGATTCTTGTGTCAGAAATGGCACATAAACAGAAGGCAAGTTAAAAAATCATTTTTTTAGTCACACACCCATACACACACCAACACATACTTATGTTCATTAGAAGCTACCGACCCTAATGAATAAAGAAAAAAAAAAAAAAAAGATTTAGACAAAAAAATACTTTTTGAGTATTGCTCATCCTACACAATATAAAGATATAGAATATAATATAGAAATGATATAGAAATAAAGGTACGCAAGCTGTCACTGGGGTGGTACCTTTCCAAAAGCCACACATTTGTACTTAAAGGGTCCTTATAGGTTCCTCAAAAGTATATATTAGTACCTACAAATTTTAAGAGGAACACTTTTTTATTTTTTAAGTACTAATATGTAACCTTGAGGTATTAATATGGACCTTTAAGCAAGAAATTTGTACCTTTTAAAAAGGTACCACCCACCCAAGTGACGGCTCACGTACCTTTATTTCTGAGAGTGTATATACAGGACATATGAAGAGTTTAGATGCAAAAACCTCTAAATGTCGTCTGAATTTTACCTCTAAAATGAACATTTCTAAAAGGCTCCTGTGTGTGTGTTAAGTAATATCACTTTTATGGCAAAGAAGATGTCCTTTTTCTGATCTTTATAGTGAAATATCTCAACAAATCAAAGGAGGCTGAGAAAATGTTTATTTTCGTAAATTTCAGACGGCACTTAAAAGGTTTTAGCATCTGAACTCTTTATATTTTATACATAGTACATACTATTTATACTGCACACTAATTAAAGTGGTTTTAAAGTCATGAAACAGAACTCATAATAGTCATCTAATGTAATAAAGTAGGCAAAAATAATGTGCAGGCTATTAAAATTAGTATATTTGCAGTTTATTTAAACATACAGTTTTGATGTTATGTTAATGTACACTTTGTAATTGTCCTTGAGAATTGCAAATCTTTGTATGTGCTCTGCGTTTTAATTGTTTGTGATAATTGGGGGACATGGGGACAAACTTATTGAGGATTATGCAATAGAACTTATGCTAAACAAATACAAGGGAGAGATGTTGAAATGCTAATAGGTAACAATAAATGCTAACATTTTGACATAAGCTGTAGTCAACTTTGTCATATGCAGCAGGGATTTTGGAGGTTTTATAAAGGTAAATTTAATAAATAAACAAATAATTTAAAGGCACCAGAATATGTCAGTATGTTCTCGAATTGTAAACTTTAAAGGAGCAGACAAAATTGGAACAATTCAAATTAGAAAAAAAACACCTTTGTACTGATATTCATTCCATTTAAACTTAAAATAAATAAATACTCATGAATGTGACCTATGAAAATATAAATATGTCAGTTCACGCTGCAAAAAAAGTTTAAACTCAGTATTTTTAGGTTTTGGCAATTTTATATATTTGTGTGATTATATGATTTTTAAACAATGATTAAATGATTTTGCACTGATTTTATGGCCTTAAATTATAGAAGAGCAGAACTGAAGAAGCTCCTTTATGTTTGCTTTTTTAAAACAAGCCCATACTGTAGTTGTGGAACTCCATCAAGGCTATTTTATTCAAATAAATATTTAATAAAGGTGATGCCAATGCATGTTTGACTATCTGACCAATAATAATGTTATGTGATGGATAATGTCAACAGGAAATGTCTTCAGTAATGTCTATGCCTAGAAATGTTACCGAATTAAAATGTATATGAGCTTGCTGTAATCACAGGCTTCAAGACCTTATTTTACAATCCATAGAAACCCTGTGCTGTAAGCATTGCTCATCTTGCATTCACACACCTGATAATGAAGCCTGGTGGACGAGCGATGAAGCTGATGATTGGGCAGCAGGGGCTGGGGGAGGAGCCTGGGGAGGGAGGGCAGAAGCTGGGGGAGGAGCGGTCGGTGTAGGGGCAGGAGTTGCAGATGGAGGGGCATGCATTTGAGGAGGCTGGGCATGGGTTGGTGGAGAGGCTAATGAAGAAGTTGGATTAGGATGTGCAGGAGGGGGAGGAGCTTGTGCAGGAGGAGTTGCAGGTGCAGTAGGTGGGCCCGGGACTGGAGGCATCATTCCCACATGAGCTTTGAGGATGACAGTGAAGACAAGATGATTGGGAGAGACAGGGATGTGGACAAAGATACATGGGGAAGCATGAGAAAATAAACACAATATGAGCAGACATTTATGAAATCTAGTGATGCACTGAATTTAATAGGACTGTTAAATTGTGAGTTGCATTTACAGGCAATTGGTTATTTCAAGAGATATCATTTACCGAAATGATAATATGTGATAATAACAGACTAATCATAATCCATGCAGAATATTTAACAACTTGTTTTATTTATTTATTTAAATAAATGTATAATAATAATAATAATAATAATAATAATAATAATAATAATAACAACAACAACAACAACAAGAAGACTTTTATTATATCCAATATTTGTAATTCTTTTAATGATTTTAATATAGCTTAGGCTTCTTTATCTAGAGCTATAAAATTGTGATGAGCCTTCAAAAGTGGATACATAATTTGTAAAGTTGTATGTCTTTCTATTTTATTCATATGTGAATACAAATATGTATTCATTATCTCCAAAATAGAGGAAGAAAGGAACCCAGCCATTTGCGGCATTGACGGAGCTGTGAAGCGAGCGCTCTTTCGCCTGGTCTCTCACACACAAATACATGTATCTTAAAGAGCACATTTCATGCAAAAACACACATTTTAAATGTGACAAAAACTCTCGACAACTTAAATTTACCTGGCTGCTGTGTCTTTAATGTGGTGTAAAGATTACTAAGCGTTATTAAAATAAAAAAGAGAACGCAAAAAAAGAAAAGTAACTTATTCAATTAAAAGTACTTTATTATTTTATGAAACACCTTTAAATTTAAAAAGTGAAACATAAAGGCGATCTTAGGCAAAAAAAAAGACCCCTAGCCTTAGGTGTTTTATGCAATATCTTAAACTGACCAGTAGCTATGTTTTTCTTCCCCTTATATTTATTTATTACAAAGATGGATCTTGAAACCTTAGTTGGCTAATAATGGTTTTTGAAATGCATCCCTGGGTGAGTAGTTTGATTTGGAGTGAGTCCCTGGGTGAGTAGTTGGCTCGCACTGGCCCAACAAAGGAAAATCAGTTGTTCCTTGCAATAGCATCTGCATGCAGCCTTTATGATGCAAGCTGAGATAGCATCAATCAGCGATGCAATGTCAGACACAATGCACTTATTTGAATTGAGTGACATTTACGGTGACAAGTAGGGTTAGGGGTGGGGTTAGGTGCATTAAATAGCAATGAATGCAGCTCAGATTGCACTGCACCAGGTCTGCATCCAGACCACTCTTGTTCCTTGGGCCATCTGGTGGATATTGTGTAAAGCACAAAAATGTTGTTGTTTTTTTATTAAAAGGCGGCCTTTGCTGCTGCAGCACAGCGCATGACTGAGTGTGACAAAGTGGCCATATCTGTATGGTCACCAAAGCTGCATTTATTAAAAAAGCAGTAACAGTTGTTACATTGGGATTTTTATTTTAATACATTTTAAAATATAATTTATTCATGAAATATCAAACCAGAATTTTCAGCAGCAATATGTTTTTTTATCACTGTAATATGCAAATTTGTTGCTCAACAAACATTTCAATGTTAAAAACATTTCTGCTGCCTAATATCTTTGAGTAAATATCAGACTTTATTCAAGATTCACGGCGTAAAATAAAAAAAATAAATTAATAAAAACATCAGAATTTTTTTTTTTTTTATGTAACAAAACTGGAGCCTGGATGTAAAATATTTTTTATGCTATTCATTAATTTATAGTGGGGTAATACAGTGGCTCAGTTTTTAGCACTGTGGCCTCACAGCAAGAAGGTCGCTGATTTGAGTCCCTGCTGGGTTACTTGGCATTTCTGTGTGGAGTTTGCATGTTGTCCTTATGTTTGCATGGGTTTACTCTGGGTGCTCCGGTTTCCCCAACAGTCCAAAGTGACATGTAGTCAAAAATGACATGTAGTCATTTAAATAAACTAAATTGGCTGTAGTGTATGTGTGTTACTGCAAGAGTGAATGGGTGTTTCCCAGTACTGGGTTGCAGCTGGAAGGGCATCTGCTGTGTAAAACATATGCTGGATAAGTTGGGGATTCATTCCACTGTGGCGACCCCTGATGAGTAAAGGGACTAAGCCGAAGCAAAATGATTTAATTAATTTATAATACTCAGACTTAAGTACTGTATACTATAACTAACTAGTTATAGTATATATAACATTAAATCAAATGCAGGAAAAATAGTATTGAGATAGATATATTTGAAACTTTTTTTAAACTCACAATTGTTGGTTTTGGCTATAAATATCAGTGCATCACTAATAATTTGCATCATGAAACATGCAAAATATCTACTTTGTGCCAATGTAATGTATTTTAGTACACTGCCATTTACTAACCACCACACTCTACACTACTACTAAACAAACTAACTATAACTAAAACTGTCCAGCCACTATGCAAATATTTGTAACTATATTATTTTATTGAGTTTTTATTTATTTATTTTTAGTATTATTTACTGTAACTACATTAAATTCTAAACTACGTTTAAGTGACTGTGCTTGCTACTAAATGTAGTAACAGCATTACCAGCCACTGCTTGTGTGATTTGTGGTTGTGGAGGGGGCGGGGCTTGATGTTGTGAAGCCCCTCCCACTGCTTCAACATTCACAACGAAATCAGAGCAGAAAGAAAGAAAAATTCACATTTTCAGACATGAGGATGAACAATGAAAATGCTACAATATAGAAAACAACAACAACAACATTCATCTTTGCCAGTAATTACCTTACCCCATATAAAAAAAAAAAAAAATCACCATTATGATGTACTATTTTTCTTAAGGGAGTTGCACGTCTTTTAAAATCATAACCATTGTTTTTCTATGAAGGTATGCATAGCGTTGCCACCTTTATGCATTTTTTGTGCTGCTTAACATTGTAAAGAAAACAATGTAAAGATGGGGTTTGGCATGTACGATGTGAGACTCACTTCAAAATAGAATGTTTATAAGTACAATTAGCAAACATTAATTCAACATTTTATCTTAAAATATAGAACTTACAATTCTGACTTTCTAAAAACATCTAGAAATACATAATAATGAATACTATATTGATAAATAGATGATTATGAGATGTTATTATATAACTATGAACAATATTTATTCAAGTGTTTATTTTTAATTACAGTTAATCGCTGGTGAGTGTTAATTTAATTCTAACTACATTCAAGTGACTGTGCTTTCTACTGAATGTTTTAACAGCATTACCAGCTACTGCCTGTATGACTTGTGGTGGTGGAGGGGGCTGGGCTTGATGTTGTACAGCCCCTCCCATTGCTTCAACATTCAGACCGAAAGAGGAAAGACAGACAAAATTACATCAACAAACATGGGGAAATGGGAAACTAGAAAGAAAAAAGCTTCAACATTCTACTATGCCATACTTTTTTTTTTTTTTTTTTTGCTATTTGCTATATATATGTGCTATTTCAATATGTTAAGTTACAATTCAATGTTAATGTTTTCTTTTCTTTTCTTTTCAATATAGCAATCACAGCAAGTTAATAAGCACGCTTCTCACACTTTATTTTAGTGCCTGGCGAGTGTTCATTTAATTGTAACTACATTTAAGTGACTGTGCTTGCTACTGAATGTAGTAACAGCATAACAGCATTACCAGCCACTGCTTGTGGGACTTGTAGTGGTGGAGGGGGCGGGGCTTGATGTAGTGAAGCCCCTCCCACTGCTTCAACATTCACACAGAAATAAAAGTAAGAAAGAAGGACAGGAAAACACAATCAGACATGAAAATGAAAACAGCAAAAATGTAAAAATAAAAAGACATACTAACATTATTCTATGCCATTTGTGAAAAATCTAAGCTTCTGAATGAACTAACTATAGATATTTACAGCACAAATGCAAATACAATTTGGTTATTTCAGTTATTCACAATAAATGAGCTATGAAGTTATAAAGATCATTAAAGCAAACTATACTAAATCAATCAATAAACTTAATGGAAGAGATCAGATGCAAGTGTCAATAATAATATCAAAATCATATTTGCATTTGGCTGATATACACCAAAAACAAACTACCCTGATCCAGTTACTATGACCATTTATGTGAAGCTGCTTTGACACAATCTACATTGTAAAAGTGCTATACAAATAAAGCTGAATTGAACTGAATGTGTCCCTTAAATTTACCAGCAACAGTCTGTGGATGCTGTGAAAGAACAGGGGGAGGAGCAGGAGGCTGAGGTCCCGCCCCTGTTCCTGCTTCATTGGATGAAGAGTACCGCCAATCAAAAGAGAAAATGACCAAAATGTCAACAAACCAAGAACTAATGACTAATAATAAAAATAATAAAAAACAATATGGATTTGTGACTGAGAAGATTAATGCACTAAAACAACACTGACTTTTTGCTATAAACATGCAAGGATATTACATAAATGGCCCTTAACAGACCTTTAAGGAAGAATGTAGGTGTTTTTTAATCAAAGCCCATTTTTGCCACAGAATGTAAAAATTAAAAAGATAATTGCTGCTTTCATAGTGCAGTTATGATTTCTAACACACATTTTTGAGTTAACAATTCACCTTTAATGTGTCATTTTTGTCCTCAAAACAGCTTACAAATAGATTATAATCTCACATCTTTTTAAGATTTCTACTTAAAAATATATATAAAAAATAATATTAAATACAATACATATTAATTTATACACTATTATTATTATTATTATTATTATTATTATTATTATTATATTATTGCATTAATAATATACTTTATAAGATTTTATTATAAATTAATATGAATATTTATTAACATTTAATCACATTTGCTTCCCGGCGATTGTTAAAATGAAGTCCTGTGAGAGAACTAACATTGTGCAACATAAGAAACTTTTTAGATTCAGGCCCAATCCCAATTCTACCCCTTAGCCCTTCCCCTTGCCCTAATTCTCTTTAGCTTGAAGGTATAGGGCTAAGAGAAAGGGATAGATAGCCTTTCGAACAGAGATTTTTCAGGACCACACTTGAAACCAAGGGGTAAGAAAATTTCCCAAAATACACCAGCAACAACGTGCAGCCCATAGCTGAACCCGGAAGCAAGGAAATCCACAAATTAGCATTTTTTGTCATTATCACAAATGTTTACAACAAACAAACATGTTTTAATATATTCATAACCATGTTCGTGTTTCAATGCCAAGTAAAAAAAAAAAAAAAAAAAAAAAAAAAAAAAAAACGCAAAAATAAAAACCGCTAAATTTCGTGATCTACAACTAATAACTTTTGGATTGCAGATTGCAGTCCCACAACATTCTGACACTCGATGACACAAGAATACCCTTTCAAAAAAGTCTAGTGGCAGGGAATGACCGTTTTACAGTGTCTGCTATAATGTTGATGTTGTTTTTGGTGTGTTTACATGAATATGGCCACTGTGTAAATGCACAGTACAGTTACGATCTTATTGCCACATTAGATCATTATGTAACATAATATATTCCTTAAGTGATTTGCTGAAGATAAATATAAAAAAAAATAACACATCTGGAATAACTACAGCAGTCGTGATTGCCTAATCTCATATCAAGCAAGAGATCACAATGACATATGATGACATGTGCAGGTGCTGTAGTGCTGTTCCATTTGTTAGGGGTAAATTTTGAAGCCCTTCCCCTTCACACTAAGTATTAAGGACCAAGAGGAAGGGAAAGGAGTAGGGGTACAAAAATAGAATTGGGATTGGGCCATAGCTGAATTACCATTTTTAGTTATTTAGTTTGGTATCATTTCATTTTGATGGTCCCTTCATCACATTTTATTAAGTTGCATCAAAACTACTACATGCCAATTGATTCCAATTAGAGACCCTAAGGTTAGGGTTGGGTCAGTGTATTTGACATGTACTTACAAAGTTTCTTGCTGTATATTCACTTGAATGTCTGTTGAGCGGTGACATTAAACAGACATAATGCTAATACTCTAATGAGAATAAGTTGAAATGTGGTTGCAATGTTACATATACTCATTAAAAAATAAAAAATAAATAAAAAATTCAAGGCCGTCTGCCTCTTTTGACAGGCTGATCTCAGGGGAAAATGTCACTATTTTATGTTTTGTCGGTTTAGTGGCTAATTTGAGTTCAGTCATATGAAAATGTAAGATTTTAAAAAGGAGACGTGGCACCCAACCCAGCCTCTAAACCCAACCATCATTGGGGGATTAAGCAAATCGCACTAAATTGTACTAATTAGATCATACGAATTCGTATGAATTAGCCACTAAATCAAAATATTGTGAATTGCAATGAGATTGTGTTGAATTTGGACATTAATCCAGACATGGACAAAGTACATAGGCTACACAGCACAAAATGATACATATACAGCACTGCTAACTGCGCTACAAACTGGCTTGATTAATTCCATTAAACGAATGGTAGAAACTAGACCAATGACAGGTAAAGCTTACAGACCAGAGAATGCAAATTTAGTCAAACAGAGTAGATGATAAAGCTGTAATAAAGAAGACTGAGACAAGGCTAAACACACAGAAGCTAAAGCTTACAGACCTTCGTAAGGCTCAGTAATGCCCTCGCCATCTTCTGGGAAAAAGGGTGAGGGGAAAAAAACAATCCATTTGTGTGTTATGTAAAGAAGAATAATGTTGCTTCATCTAAATTGTAGTAGGCACCCAGCTAGCAGAAACATATTCTTAGAATGTTCTGGCAAGATTCTCTCGAAGTTTAAATGTGAAATCAAAATGTTTGTTTCGCTAGCTCACATTGTTATTCTTTAGGTGAACAATTAATCTTTGCAATTTAATCCACTGAAGAAAAGGAGTTTAATCAAAGTCTGACCATTTGCTTCCATGTATGGAGTGGTGTTCCTCCTATGTAGATGGCAGTTTTAAAGCTTCAACTACAATACTCTTTAACCAAGTCCCTCTTACTGTTAGTTTGCTACAAGGAGAAGATGTGCAAAAGAAAGCTCTGTCCCCTTTCTCAATATACGGTTTTAGTTGGAAATAAATCAACATACTTAATAAAAGTCTCAGCAAATTCCTGTTCATGCAGACTTTAAACAATCTTTTTTAAGGTTTGTTCAAACCCATCAGGTATTTAATAATGTTTGTTAAAGGTTTATATGAGAATTGTATACATTGTCTACATGGGAAGAGATTTGTAGTGATGAAGTGCAGATAAAGCACCATTGCAAATAATTTGTCCTACGTGTCAGTGTGTTTTAAATATCATGAAGCATCAGTTTACAATTTAGTCATGCCGCACCACATCCAGTGTAAACAAAATCACTGTTTATAATTGTTTATAATCTTTAGTCAAGTAACTCAGTTTAGAGAAGGTGTTACGCTTACATCATACAACACCAAATCAGAAAAAGTTTGGACAGTATGGAAAAACAAAAATAAAATAGAAATAAAGAAAGAAAGAAGTGATTTCTAAATTGATTTTGATATGTATTTCATTGCAGACAATACAGCAGCACATTATTTAAGGTGTTCCTCATGATTATTATTATTTTTTATTAATAATTGTTAATCAAAATATACACATATTCCAATTTTGGTTCATTCAACACATTTCAAAATAATTTGGGACATGAGCAATTTAGTAATCAGGTAAACTGGTTAAATAATGATGTGATTTAAAACTGGTAATGTCAACAGGTGATTGTTTAGTCTTAGGAACCAGCCAAAGATAAGAGTGAGGATCGCCCAGTTTGCCAACAAATACATAAAAAAAAATTATTGAAATAAAAAACAATGTTTAAAAACAATGTTCCTCAAAAAAGATTGGATATTTTACCTTTTGCAGTGCATTACATATTTAAATAAAAGCTTATTTTTAATTTGCCTTTTCCTTACTGTCCCAAATTTTTCTCATTTTGAGTTGTACATCATTTTAATGTAGCCATAGGTTTAACATTTATAAAACCTTTTTACACTACTTGAACTGTATGTAGTGTATGTACATTGTTTAGAAAAACATTTAAAAGTAATTTTCCATCTTTATTGAATGATACAATGAAAGGTTTCCTTAACCCTTTAAATTTACTTATAAAACGTCTCAGGTTAAATTGTGTTCCTGACACCACTCAGCAACTTTTTAGCTAGGAAGGATAAGCTATTAACAAGAAAAGGTAAACCAGGCATTTACAATGCCTGATAGAGAGATAATGCTTGCATAACCAAGATACTCTTTAATATTTTAACAATATATATATATTTTTAAATGTGTCATATTTCAACAATATGTACTGTATATGTTTGTCTATGAAGTTTCAGCTCAAAACATCACCTAAATCCTTTCTTATAGCATGCTAAATTCGCCCCTTTTGGCTGTGAGCAAAAACATGCTGTTTTCTGGGTTTAGCAGCTTTAAATGCAAATGAGCAAAATAAAACACATTTCCAATAATGCGATAATGTGATTCTAAAAACTGACCTTCCCTATCTGCGTAGGCTTTGGATTGTCATTATGCAAATATTTTATTGTTTTCACATATTGATTAATTGAGGTATTTTGGAAAGTTCTGGATCAGTCAAAAAAAGTACTTCAAGCTTTTGTTCTTTCTGCCTTAATTTCTTTAGTTGAATCAAATGACCTTCTCTTTTCCAATAATCTCAACTGGCTAAAATATTTCATTCAACTCTGTATAAGTTCCAAAAATATTTAAATCTTAATAAAATAAGTTAAAATAACATTACTTGTTGTCATTACTTTTTTTGTCATATAAATGTTTGCAGTGTACACAAACAGCTACATAAAACACTATTAACACTATTATCCTATTTAATAATAACCCATTTAATTACAATTTATATATATATATATATATATATATATGTATATATATATATATATAGTGTTAACATTCTTAGAACATGCTTAGAAAGCATAACATTCTTAGAACATATTTTTGTTAGCTGGGCAACAATTACACAGTATTCTGTATATAACCTCTGTGGTCAAGATGGATACATATACAGACCCATTCAAACCAATGATCATAACTATAAAGTTAACAATAAAGATAAAGTTCTAAAAATCACTTTAAACATAAAAATAGAATCCACACCATAACAATAATGTAACTGCACAAAGAAATCATAAAATTCCCATAATTACTTTTTATGCATTTAAAACTTGTAACTTAATGTTGCAGTGTGTGCTAATAATAAACAGAACCTTATTGTCCTTTGCCATGAATGAGAATTAAGTTATTGTTCTTGGTGTGTTATCATCAGTAATAGATTGTAATGTTTACTGAGCTTACTTGATTCTTACCAAATTCAGGTTATCATTATCCTCCACATAATGCTAATAAATATGTGTGGGCATCCGCTTCCCTTAAAGCTGTGCTTTAAAAAAGGCCTGGTTAATTTACTCACTTCTATCCATAGAGCCCTTTGGTGGGACCTGCGGTAGCTGTCGACCTCTTCGACTGGACATTGGCGTGCTGGTGGGACTTGTTTGGACTGATCCAGTGCGTGGGTTTGCCCTGCGGGATAGATGGTGCATCAGTAATGAACATACAATAATAGCATTACCTCTGAAGGAGGGTTTGTGGAGTCATAAACCTGCCCACACTACAGCAGAACACGCTGTTGAGAGAATACTAAAAAACAAAGAAACAAATAAAACTACTAGCTATGGTTATATTTCAGTAGCATGAAATAATAACACACAATCCACTTTGAATACTATAAAAAGAGACACATACTGTATACTAATAAACAAACTTAGTCAATATTTGGCACAGATTTCTCAGAGGTTAGTAAAAAAAAGTAAAATGAAGTACAAACATTTGTGAATTACAACTATTACAAATACATGTCTTGTATATACAGTAAATCAAAATGAACTTGTAAAACCTTTTTAGAACCTGATTAAGAAAATAAGCGAGTTTCATTAAAACTTACAATTGTCAAATTTACCCCAATATCATAAGAATTGGCTAAAGTAATTACATTTTTTTTTCAGCTTAATCCCTTTATTATTCTGGGGTTGCTAGAGCGGAATGAACTGCCAACTTTTCCAGCATATATTTTACACAGCGGATGCCCTTTTAGCCGCAACCCATCTCTGGGAAACATCCATACACACTCATACACTATGGACAATTAAGCCTACCAAATTCACCTGTACCGCATGTTTTTGGACTGTGGGGGAAACCGGAGCACCCGGAGGGAACCCACGCGAACGCAAGGAGAACAAGCAAACTCCACACAGAAACGCCAACTGGCCCAGCCGAGGCTCGAACCAGCAACCTTCTTGCTGTGAGGCGACAGCACGACCTACTGCGCCACTGCATCGTCTACATTTTTATATACTTTTTAGATTTTTAGAATCAACAAATAAACAATTTTCAATTAGGTATATTTTATCTACCTCAATTATTAAAACTCTCACTAAAACTTGAACCTGAACATCACCTTAATGTAAACATATAATGTTACATATAATAACATATAATATATATTATAAATATATACAAATAAATAAATAAATAAATAAGATATATATTTGTATTAAATTTAGCCTTACTAGTTTTTGCTTTATGGCATTTAATTTATTCTGATTCTATTCGTAAAAAAATAAAACATTGATTTAATGTTTTTTTTTTTTAGTGCATAGTTCTACATCCCTACATTACGGTAATTAAAAATGTTTAGTCAAAATGTATTTTACTTTAACTTTTACTTTATTTTGTAATTTAAACTGTTTCAATGCTAAATATGTTTGTTGTTGTTTTTAATATATAATAGAAGTGATATATTATATAGATACATATAGTATCGTAATAAAAATTATGAAAAAAAACAAAACAAAACAAAAGTCATGTTGACACATGCAGGGTCAAAGGTGTAGAAAAGAGTTTCCTAAGCATCAAAATGGAGCAATAATGTTCACTATAATTTAATTTATACATTTTTATACATTTTTAATTGATATTATTCTGTAAGTAGGTAGTAATATGTACAGTTTCATTATTTAAATACATATTTGTTATGCTGAATGATAATGAAATACTGAAATACTGAAACAAATTTGCCATTTTACTTCCAAAAAAGTATTTTGAAACAACGTTTTTGTAAAATGAATTTGATTAAGACACTAAAATAGGTTGAATGGCTATTCAGTTTGTTATATAAAAATAAAAAAGTTCCTAATCCCTATACATATATATTTTATCAGGGTGGTATAATCAGGGTGTGAATTATACATTTCAGTTTGTTAATATGCCTCAGTGAACCAAATGTATTTATTTGATTTAATTACAACTAATATATAAATCAAACTTGTTTTTATGTTTTCAGTGTTTTGAGAGATATTGAGTGGTTCTCAATGACATTTGTGATATTAAATAAACGGCGTTTGCTTTTATGCACCTAATAATGGACGACAATGAAAGACTGCACATATTTTTTTTTATTTTACTGTTCAACTTGTGTGAGTAGTACATGATAAAATACAAAGGCTTTTTTTTTTTTTTAAAGAAATCTGTTTTGTGAACACTTATGCTGTCTGTTGGTGCTCTAGATTTGCCGGTTTCAAACAGATAAAAATCCTATTTTTGGTTATAGGGGGTGGTCAATTATATATTGAAATTATCTATTTTTTTTAATTATTAATATTATTTTAGATTCAGATTAGAGCAAACAATTTCTTAACTATTAAAGGGCAGACCTCCTTATTCATCTTGTATTGATGTCCTTCAGGGTGGATTAAGTGTTAATTTGGGGGGTCAGACCCCCCAACCCCCCCTGTAATTTGCACCCTGTTTCTGATCTTCTAATTTTGGAGTAAAATATGACTCAGCAAGATCTTGTCAAGTTTATAAAAGAAAAAAATAATAACCGTCAATCTATTTCACATATAAAAGCATGCATTTGGTAAATATGTCACAGTCATGTGCATTTTAGCCACGTAAACAAATATACACATTTAAAATGCACATCAACTCCACGGTAAACACAATGATCTTTTAAGCACCTTTTGAGCACATTTGCTTTCGATGACACTCTCTCAAAAAGCTACAGCAAAAAAAAAAAAGCATGCACAGATCTGAACAGTTATGTAACATCCTTGTGACTTATGATGTGCCAGCCAAATCGTAAGTCATAAGGTATTATGGCGTCTCAAAAGGTGTGATGGAGTCAGCATCTGGGGTGCCGGCTAAAGCTGCAAGGAAAGTGAAAAGGCCTAAATGCATGAGCACAAGGTATAACAGCCCATAACTCAAATCATAAACTGTTAAACCACACAAAAAATATTGAAATTGAATTGAATTGAAAGTAAATGAATAAATAAATGTTAGTAAACTCAAAAAACACGATGCCAGGTACACACCATTATATCTCAAGAGGATATAACAGGTGTGTCAATAATCCAAATGAAATGACGTTAGTAGAAACCATTATCACTACTCTCTACTATATCCACCTTTTTCCTACATCCCATGAGTCTTTGCGTGAATTATGGGAGTAACTTCCTGTTTGACTTTAAACAAGCAGTGATGAGTTTAAAAAAATAAAATAAAATAAAATAACTGGGTCTACTAGTAACATGTGCTTCAGTTAAGTCGTGGGTCGGGCAGGGCAGATAATCAAAAAACCTGCCCTTGGGTTGTGGGTGAATAAGATCAATCATTAATTATGCAAACATTAACTACTTTCTCGAAAATATAAATTTCCAATCTGGCATATTAGCAGGTACAAATATACAGACTCTTATTAAAGAGGTGGTCGACTACGATATCATATTTTACACTTCAGTTCATGTGTAATGTAGTTGTGAGAATATAAACAACATCTCCAATTGTAAGACGCTCAAAGTCCAATGCAAAGGTAGACATTGGCTTTACAGAGTTAGCTTAGCAAAGCCTACAAGTTTGGGGACTACAAAAAAGTATAACGGCTTAGTGAGATCACAAGCAACTTCAGGTTACGAGCATTCACCACACACATACACCTGGTACAGCAACGGGTGTGGCCAGAGGCGCTGTAGTGCTGTAATGTAATAGAGAAAGCTAAAATGGCGTCCAAATGCTGCTTGTTCATTTTCTGTATTTGGCTACCAAAGGACATGGCACAAAGTGAGAAGTTCTTACAGTTTAATTTTAATTATATTCCAGAGACATGGAAAAGAGACAGAGAAAAAAATATGTAGCTAGCATTTATCGAAGCTTTCAAAATCTCAGTTCAGTGCTGGATTCGGCTAAAACTTCTTTAACCGACGAAGCTGTGGATTGTGAGCCACAAACTGTAAGTATTTTTATTTGTTAAAATTGATCTATTACAAGTTTCTAGCTTTACGTTGTGTTGTAGTGAGGACACAAATAAGGATGTAAACAATGGGAAATGCTGTTTGGCACCGCTAACAATTTAGCTACAAATTCATATTTATCAGTGAAACCGCTGTGAACAGCCACAATCTTCAGCAGCGCTGCAGTGTCTCTCTATGTGGCTGCTTTCTGTGCATTCTGCATCTCAAATAACAAATTCGCAAAAGATATGTAAACGTTTTATATTACTTCATTTTCTTGTTGGCTTAGTCCCTTTATTAATCCAGGGTCGCCACAGCGGAATGAATTTCTCCAGCACGTTTTTATGCAGTGGATGCCGTTCCAGCTGCAACCCATCTCTGGGAAACATCCACACACACTCATTTACACACACAATCATACACTACGGACAATTTAGCCTACCCAATTCACCTGTACTGCATGTCTTTGGACTGCGGGGGAAACCGTAGCACCCTGAGGAAACCCACGCAAATGCAGGGAGAACATACAAACTCCACACAGAAACGCCAACTGAGCCGAGGCTCGAACCAGCGACCTTCTTGCTGTGAGGCGACAGCACTACCTACTGCGCCACTTTAAAAAAAAGAATATTACTTTACTATAGGGAATACACAAAGAAAATAATCTGCAAAAAGAAAACACAGTGAACTCAAAAGGTTTTGGCCACAGATATGCTCATTGTACTAATTTCAAGTTTTAAAAAATACAAATACAAATGTAAAGTTACTTTCGTAATGCTTATTGAAAAAAACAAAAAAAAAAAACAAAGCCAAATGTACCTCTCCCTCAGTTTCATTGTTTAAAAAGATTGTTTTTACCACAACCGTATTAATCCAAATTATTTGTTTCAGCTCTTTTCAATGGAAGTTCTCCAAACAGGAAGTGGAACCCATAAATTGAAACGCAATAGTCATGTGTGGAAAAAGGTGAATAAATGAAGACAAATGATAAAGAGCATCGTTACAACAGGGTTAAAATAAGAGGAGGTGGTGAGGAGCATTCCAGGTGACGGGTAGCAGAAGGCATGGTTTGGTTTAGCGCTTTAGTGCTTGTTGTGATGGTCTGGGTCACCTCGTTAAGGCAGGAGAGGGAGGTGCAGATCTCCCTGATGGTAAGGATGGCATGGATCTCATGTATCCGGAGTCGGGACGCTCAGATGAGCGTGAGCGTGTGTAGACCGGTCGCTCCATCATGGGCCGCTGGTCGGCTGACCTGGACCTGTAATGGTCATGTCTGACCACCATGCTGCGGCTGTACCTGCAGATTGTTAGTCAAAAAACCATGCTCAGCTGAGCCCCAGTGCATTATGGGATCAGAACCCATCAATACTCGAAGAATGCTGGTCGTTCCTGTGAAATAATGTTGGCTGGCTAAAAATTGACAACACATTTCAAACCAAATAAAGTCATCTACATCATTATCATAAATGTACAAAATCATAAAAAAACAAACTCAGGAGTTCCAAAACAAATAAAGAAATAATAAAACAAATAATCAAGCTTCAGGAACCTGCTGCAAAGAAAACATATGAACGCATTTCATTCTGACAAAAATGTTCCTTTTGTCAACCATCTACACTACTGCTATAATAGCTAGCCATCTATAACTATTATCTATTGACTACTAACGGAACTCATAACTGTAAATCTAGTCCTATGTGAATACTTGAACTAGTTCTACTGTATTACCTCAGATCTTCCTCAAAGTGATCATGGTTAGCAGGGAACTCTGGGATTTGATCCTCTCTATGAGGGTGCATAGGAGAAAACCATCAAATGCTAATTTAGTAGCTGTTATAGTTGTCAGGAGCCGCTAAATATTAGAGCAGGTGAATTTAATTGTTTTTAAAATGCACTCTAATTAAACAACTACTGTCTTCCATACTACAGTAAGAGGATTTTGCAATAATATTATAATGCTAGTGAAGTTTATTAGAGCTCCACTGTGCTTAAAGCTACATAATATTAAAGAACATAACAATTACTGTAAGTATATACATTTGACAGGATAGCAACAACATCTAAATTGAACTGGAGTCTGCACTGAAGGGTTCTACTCTGAAACTAAGTGTATTTAATGTAATGATACCTTTCTGTATCTGTAGAAGGCTCAATTTCTATCCGGGGACACGTCCTACTAAACAAACCAACCTCAGTTTGTTAAATCAACACTTAATAACAAATATATTCAGAATTTATTTGCACAAGAACATTTATCAGGTCGGATTTTGTGAAAATAAATCAAATAAGCTATAGATTTGAATTCATTATTAAGAGGGAACATAAATAGGGAGTTTTATTCCTGGCAGCTGATGTGTGATGAGTTAATGAAGTGTTGTTGGTGTTAAGGTCTTCAAATGTCTTACCTGTAGTCTCCACCGGTTCCGTTCATGACATGATTGGGCCATGGAGTAGATACATGATTGGGCCCATTGTAATATCTTTAAATGGAGGATGATGAGTGATGAAGATCGAAATGAAGAAAGGAAAAGTATGATTAGAATGAACAACAGCTGAATCAAGGCAATGGGGTGAGAGTTTATGTCTGTAACTGGTAACATAGTCCACTTGAATGTCATTTATTGGTGTATAAACAGAGAATGTCTCAACTAATGTATTCATATTTTACCTCTCAGGCGATTCATATGAGTCACTGTAGGTAGACATTTGTCTATCTCTTCTCATCCTCCTGAACACAAAATAATGCAGAATCAAATCCCACTGTATGCGCCAACATTATTCTACCTGCCAACAAAAGAGCTCTAATGCAGCTGTAAGATGCTATAGAATCAAGTTAGCTCATTTTATTGATTCATTTTTGTTCTCAAAATATCCAGGTTAGTTATGGCCATTATCTCAGAAATAAAGATACAAGATCTGTCACTGGGGTGGTACCTTTTTAATGGCCCATTTCGACTGAGTGATACGGTATGGGTCAGTACAGTATGGTCATTTCCACTGTTAAAAGGTACCAAAAAGCAAACCATACTGTACCACTTTTAGGTACCCTTTACAAAGCAGTAGCAGAACAAAAGGGTACCAAAAGGCAGAGCTAGCTGCAAAGCTGAATGTTATTTGTTTACAGAGAAGTGTCCCTAGTGCGTGTACAAACCAGGAGAATGAAAACAAAGGAAGCTCCATTTTTAAATACACTTCCATTAGAGACATTGCATCGTAATACTATATATATAATAATAATGAGCCATGGTCGACCCGAGCTCAAACAAACTTTGTCATCGTCTTGATGAACAGCCAAAAAGCTAATAAGAACAAAATCTGCAATGTCCTGTCGTTGTTTTCGAGGCTGTCTAAAAGTGCAAGAGGTTTCACGTTCTCCAGAGAGCTCGCGAATGCTCGCCAAACAACAATATTTGAAATAACAAATTTCTGTAATTGGTAACATATCGGAGACTGTAAAGCAGGGGTATCAAACTCAGTTCCAGGAGGGCCGCAGCTCTGCACAATTTAGTTTCAACCCTACTTAAACACACCTGATCAAACTAATTGAGTCCTTGGCTGTTTCTCAATATGCAGTCTTCAGTGATCTTGTGTTATGTTATCATCAGCAGCCAAAGTTCAGTTCCAATACTCAAGACCACAAGAACAGAGGACGCGTAAAACTGCCAGGATGTGTTCTTGATATTGAGGACGCACCGATGCAGACTTGAGCACCGATCTTGCTCTAGAAGTCCCAGAAGTCATTGCGACTGGAGGTGGGAAGTAGGGCATTTTATTTAGATTTATTATTAAAGTTCAGAGATATAACTTATTTGTCTCAGGAGTTTCCCTAAATATAAACATTAACATGAAAATCTTAATAAAAAAATAAACACATTAACGGTGTTTGTTTGCTGAAATTCATATTAAAATCTGTTTTATTCATATTGTGCAACGTATGCTTATAGGGTTTTTATGCATAATATATATTTTAAAAAGGGGAAAAAAATAAATTGTTGTATGAATGCTGTAATGTTTAAATAATTTAAAATGCGTGAGGTCTTGTGGCCATCAGGAAGAACGCAGCTTCTAATTTCTCACAGAACGCGTTCTCTGTTCTCGTGGTCTCCTGAGTGCGTTCTTCAGAGGACGCCTGGCAAGACCAGTCTCCACAAGAACGCAAGTCTGTTTTCTGCGTGCTTGGAATTAAGAAACAGCCCTTCAGTCTTGTTTAAAACCTACAGGAAAGTTTGTTGAAGCTGGGCTGGAACTTAACCGTGTAGAGCAGTGGCCCTCCAGGAACTAAGTTCGACACCCCTACTGTAAGGGTCTGTAAGAGTTCATTTATGTTGCATTTATTTATTTTATATAATTGTGGATGTTACAGTAGGCTATTTTGCACATTTGGCATCATTGATCTGCAGTTATAATCAAAACATGTTCATAAAAAGTTTTGTAATGAACATGTATTTATGTGTATGAAGCATCGGTTTTGTAAGAAGTGCTTGTGAATGCCCTGTACAGCTTTACTTTGACATTTCCTAGAGTGACAATGACGTCGACTGAAACTTTCTGTCATACGCTACGCCCATACACCATATCAGTACCCTTTATGCAATGGACAAGCCTGATAAAGGTGATCGTACTGACCTGCACCGTACCGTATCACTTAGTGAAAACAGGCAATAAATAGTACTGTTTGGTTATTAACAGGTTCTCAAAAAGGTACATGCTTAAAAAAGTACCTACAAAGAACAAACCTGTACCTCATAGTACTGTAAAGTGCAAAAGTAAACTTTAAAAGTAGAAAAGTGTACCTTAAATGTGCTAATATGCAGCTGTAAAGTACAAAAGTGTACCTTTTGAATAGGTACTGCCCCAGTGACAGCTTTTGCAGGCTTATTTCTGAGAGAGTGGAATCTCACTCATTACTATTGTTTTTTTTTTCAAGATAATGAAACATAATTAACATGATTTTGTTTGTACAAAAAAGTTACATTTGTATCAGTTAATGCATTCCCTGAGAGCTAAACCCATGACTTGGTGTTTGCTTGAGGGTTTGAAGTAAAAGTCCCAGGACTGTCTAAGAGAATGCCATTTTTGGTGGGTGGTTGGAAGGAGGTTCCAAAGGGGTTGTGTGTGGCTTTTTAACATATTGTTTGGATATTGCTAGTTCTTTTGTGCGTGGTTGTGAAGGAGTTGCTAAGAAAGATTTTATCTGGCTTTTTGGCATTTTCTTTTGCCATTCCTAAGTGGTTGCGTATAGTCAAATGTCTAGATCTACTATACCCTATACAGTATTTATAGCCATTTAGTTATCTCCCAGAAAATGCTATTTCAAGACTCTTGTCAAAATCTTGAATAATTTAAGAGACTGATCATGTCTTTATCAAAAAAAGTGCAAAAAAATTATTAAAATATTTTAATTGATTCATCATAATAATAAAATGTCACTATCAGATATGCATTAGATATTTTTTGAGCATTGTTGCAACTATTTTTTGTACTAAAAACAAAGTTTTGAGACCTAATGGGCCAATCACACCGAATGTGCTTTTTGCATTGAGAGGCGCCTTTTTTAAAATGTGCATGTGTCATGTGTGCATGTGTCACAAACAACACCAAAAGTAATAGATTCAGTTCCGAGGGATGCATAAACCTGTGGGGAATCTTGGAATCCACACAATCTGGGATCCTTCCATTCATTAATCAAAATGAGTTGGTCACCAAATTCTCTATTGCTGGCCAGCCAAAGAGCTTTACTTCAAAGTGACTTTTGTGTGAGTTTTACACATTTCTAGATTACTGACAATTTACCTTTCTGCCAATAAAATATCACCCTTTAGACTTATTATTACATAAGAATGGTGCAAAAATGTTATTTGAATCTATCACACCTTAGAGCTGCTGTATACCAAGGCTGACTAGATCCACTCCACAGTGTCTGAGTCTTCAATGAGCCTACTAACACATCCTTAACTGATACATTCAGTTTATCGATTGGCAGTTCTGTCACAGAGTGACACTTCCTAATTTAGAAAGGAAAGTACTGTACTAGTGCTCGGTCATCAAAAAAAACTAAAACAAAACAAAAACAGGCAGCCGAGGAAACAGTGCTGAAGTTACAATTTATAACACCACTGTAGGAAGAGTGACGGAGGAGCTGGTAAATATACAGTATAGCTATACAAACACATTGGTCACATATCAATATGGAATATTACTATAAGATTACTGATATACCTAATGTAAATGCCTGAAAATTCACAATATGGATGCTAAACTGTAAACCTAAGGAGGTGACGTAATGACTCCTTATCATTACTGTCAAAGTACTACGCTTTCACAGTGGGTTAAAGAACAACACTAGTCAAGTTTGCTAGTTAGTGTGTTGGTGTTGGGGGGGGGGGGGGGGGGGGACATTAAGAAAATGACCAATTTGGCATCATCGTCTCCATTTTCACCCATTAGTAAGTTTTCCACCAATTGTAAAGTTTTCTAATATGGATTTAACACTTTGTAAATCTGGAGAAGTAAACGTGAATCATTCTGAGAGGCGCCACAAAAGGGTTAGTTTACCTAAAAATGAAAATTATATTGTTAATTACTCACACTCATATCGTTCCAATCCCTAAAGAGTTTTGTTCATCTTTAGAACACAAATTAATATATTTTAGATAAAATCTGAAAGCTTATTATTATCCTTCACAGACAGCAATGGTCCAAGACATTCAAAGTTCATTAAAGAAAGCAAATACATTGTCAAAATACATACACCGCCCACTTTATTAGGTACACCAGTCTAACTTCTTATTATTGCAAATTTCTAATCAGCCAATCACATGGCAGCAACTCAATGCATTTAGGCATGTAGACATGGTCAAGATGATCTGCTGCAGTTCAAACAGAGCATCAGAATGGGAAAGAAAGGTGATTTAAGAGAATTTATATGTGGTATGGTTGTTGGTCCAAGTTATTTCAGAAACTGCTGATCTACTGGGATTTCCCTGCACAACCATCTCTTGGGTTTACAGAGGGTCAGAAAAGAGAAAATAACCAGTGTTCTGTAGTTCTGTGGGAGCAAATGAAGAGCATCTCTGAATGCACAACGCGTCCAACCTTGAGGCAGATGGGCTACAGCAGCAGAAGACCACACAGGGTGGCATTCCTGTCAGCTAAGAACAGGAAACTGAGGCTACAATTCACACAGGCTCACCAAAATTGGACAATATAAGATTGGGAAAACGTTGCCTGGTCTGATGAGTTTCGATTTCTGCTGCGACATTCAGATGGTAGGGTCAGAATTTAGAGTCAACAACATAAAAGCATGGATCCATGCTGCCTTGAATGGTTCAGGCTGGTGGTAGTTGTGTAATGGTGTGGGAGATATTTTCTTGGCAGACTTTGGGCCCATTAGTACCAATTGAGCTTTGTGTCAACCCTACAGGCTACCTAAGTATTCTTGCTAACCATGCCCATACCTTTATGACCACAGTGAACACATTGTCTGATGGCACTTGCAGTAGGATAATGCACCATGTAATAAAGTATGAATCATGTCAGACTGGTTTCTTGAACATGACAATGAGTTCATTGTACTCAAATGGCCTGCACAGTCACCAGAACTCAATCCAATAGAGCACATTTGAGATGTGGTGGAACGCGAGATTCACATCATAGATGTGCAGCCGACAAATCTGCAGCAACTGCGTGATGCTATCATGTCAATATTAAACAAAATTTCTGAGGAATATTTCCAGTCCCTTGTTTAATCTATGCCACGAAGGATTAAAGTTCTGAAGGCAAAAGGGGGTCCAACCTACTAGTAGGGTGTACCCAATAAAGTAGCCGGTGAAAGTATGTCATGTGACTAAAGTAGTTCAACTGTAGTCAGAAAACAACCTTGCTCAAATGTTTCCTCAGTTATTTTGGCACATAAAAGTGTTCTTGGAAATTTGTATGATTACAGTTGAACCACAGATGTTACATGCATATGTATATGCAGGAATCCTAAAGGTAATTTGAAATACCTTTTTAAGACTTTTTAAAGACCTGCTCAGAATATTTCAAGACCTCATTGCCACTTCAAGTTCTAATCGGTATCAAACCATGCAACAGAACTCAGATAAGCTCAAAAGAAACAAAGCTTGAAAGAATAAACTACGGGGTTGTTTTCAGCGACAGGCTTCAGCCACTGCATCTTTCTTCAACCAGGAGTATGCAAACTTACATTTGCAAATTTTGCCGTCTGTTTCACTCTGTGGTTTCGCTACATGTGGAGAGTGTCACATCACCTTCCTGCGTATGTCGCAAATTATGTGACATGAGCCGGATCGAGGAGCTTGGCCAGAAGCGCCCCGGCCCAAACCAATCACGTAGTTCGAGCACGCCCTTGTTAATATTAGTAGGAAAATAAGAGACAAATAGTTTGAAAACCACTTGAAAAAAAAATTTAAGACCTCGTCCAAACGCAATTAAGACTTTTTGATAACTTTTAAGGGCATTTATTTTCTCACAATTGATCAACTTTTAATACTTTTTAAGACCCTGCAGACACCTTGCTATTATGAATTTTGAATATCTCAGGACCATTGCTGTCAATAGATGACCAGAGAGCTCTTAGATTTCTTCTAAAATATCTTAACTTGTTTTCTGAATATGAATGAAGATATCGAGATTTGAAAGACATTAGACTGAGTATTTAATAATAGAATTTTTATTTTTGGGGGGAACTAACGCTTTAATTTTAGTCCAAACTACAACCCATGTTGCTATAATGTAAACTGGAGTGAACTACTGTGGATTACTACCTGTCCAAGCTATTGTAAGCCCCATCTGAGTAAGCACGGGCCATCCTAGTGGAGCGCAGTAACTTGACCGCGTCTTCCCGAAAGAGCGGGTGCATACTATGAGTCAGAACAGAAAGTGAGAGTGCAGCAGTTAGAAATGGGTGGGAAAAGTGGGAGTTAGATAGGAAATAAAGGGTTTGGGCTATCTCTTTGGCACTTCCTCTCTGAAAGAAGGCACAGGTGAACATCACCAGAAGCACAAAGAATAAATCAAGTAACCTTGAGACAAGAGATAAGCTATCAAAACTGTAATTTATGTTGCAGCAAACACAGGCAGCAGCAAATATTGTATGCAGTGATAATGCAGTAGTGGTTTTCCAAGGGTAAGAACTAAAAATGTGTTTGTTTGGGTATAGTACGCTACTATCACACACTAACAAGTTCCTATAAGTGAATAACAATACACTATGCCTTTAAAGAAATATTAGGCAGAATTTTGCATGTTTTTTTGTATGTTTTTTTTGTATGAAAATACCAATCTAGGCTAATCTAGGCTTGATACAAAAAATAGGTGAAAGAACTGAGTACTTTGTGCATTATGCATACTCTAGGGCAGGGGTATAAAACTTGTAAAAGAAAATGTGCAGGCCAAATTAACTTATTGTTAAACCTCAGTTTGCAAACCATACTAACTACAACATGATTCACAAGAAAACTTTTTTCATAACTGTGGCTTTGTTTGGTACTCTTATTGATGGTGAAACAATCAAAAGAGAGAACACTTGTACAGGGTGGGCCATTTATATGAATACACCTTAATAAAATGGGAATGGTTGGTGATATTAATGTCCTGTTTGTGGCACATTATTATATGTGAGGGGGCAAACGTTTTAAGATGGGTGGTGACCATTTTGAAGTCGGCCATCTTGGATCCAACTTTTGTTTTGTGTCCGTAGTTTCAGGTGCTGCACATCTGAAGGTGGTCAGATCGGGAGACTGTTGGGGCCATTCAACTGGCCCATGACGACTAATCTACATATCAGATAACTGTTCATCTAGGAATGCTCGGACCTGACACCCATATTGTGGTGGTGCACCATATTGCTGGAAAAACTGCCAGCTTCAGTGCATAAAGAGAGAAACACATCATCATGTAGGAATTTCAAATATCCAGTGGCCTTGAGGTTTCCATTGATGAAGAACGGCCCTACTATCTTTGTTGTCTATGGTGTTAAGATGCAAGATGTGCAGCACCTGAAACAATGGACACTGGAAGCCTGTGCTGGCATTTCTCCAGCGGTGTTGCTATCAGTGTGGGAAGAGTGGGAGAAGAGGGTTGCATTGACAATCCAAGACAATGGGCAGCACATTAAACACCTTTTATTGGTGGTCAGAAACTTATAAATAACTCATGAAAGAGTGAAGTTACATTAAAACCATTGTTTTTCTTTTGAAATTTTGCAAAATAACAGAAATGTGCGCACATCTAGAAAAATCTTGAAGGCAGGTGCACGATCAAAAAACAAACATAAGTAGCAAAAGATTAAGTAAATCGGCACACTGCCACTTTAGCTCTCAAAAAAATTTGATTTGTCAAAATTTTCTTGTGAAATTTCCAATGAGTTTGATGTGCCAAATTACCCTTTTCATACTGAAAAAACAAAAGTTGGATCCAAGATGGCCAACTTCAAAATGGTCACCATGGTCACCACACATCTTGAAACGTTTGCCCTCTCACATATACTAATGTGGCACACACAAGACATTAATATCACCAACCATTTCCATTTTATCATGGTGTATCCATATAAATGGCCCACTCTGTATTTTTTAGAGGTGCAGTAGGTGATTGTCTTCAGAAACAATTTTTGTTGTGCTGGTTGAAAGTCTTTTCACATTACAATAATCTTGATTAATGTTATTGATCTTAATGTACTTATAAGTATTTTAATATTCTGGGGAAGGCATAAGACTAAAAAATGTCCGTCCAATAAAAAAGACTATCATGCTGACATTACCCATAATTCTGATAAGTAACCCAAACTGTCTGTCAACAAATGTAGATGTGTACATTTGCACAGCCAATCACACAGACCCGTCGTTTGTATGTGCACATGCACCGCGTTTACCCCTACTTGAGAGTGACCAACAAAAACAAATGCTGAATCAAAACTTTCTAAAATCCTAAATCAATATTGGAGTTACTTTTGCATGTTGGAGGAAAGACAACACCATGGCTGAAGTATTTCTTTTAAACAGGTAATGTAATGTTTTAAAACTATTTTTAGTTACGCAAAGTTTATGTAGATTTTGTTGTTTTACGAATGGGTTATAGGCTCAGAAGTGTTGTTCAGCCACTGAAATCTTCTGGTGAAAGATTGATGTGACTATTTTCAGGTTCATAAGGGACCTTTTACAGCATTGATAATGTCGATTTTTTACCAACAAAACATCAGTAAACAGCACTATTCCACCTAACCTGCTTTACTGAGGTGAAGTTTTATATTCACATTGGTTCATTTTTGAACAAAGGCAACCTGTGACGCAGTCCCTATATTGTTTACCATGCTACTTTGAATATTCAGTCTGAAATACCATGCAAGTATGGCCAAGTAATAAATTTAATTCCTGCACCCCATAAGCATACAGTAGTCACTTCAGGACAAAGCACATGAGGGAGTTAGACCAGCGATCCTTGCAGGCATGAAATATTGCACATTATGACAAGTTTTGCTTGCTAGCTACACTAAAAATTTGCTAGATATAATACAGTTCAGAATTGTAGTATAATAAAGTACTATGAAGCTTTCTAACTGGTGAATGACGTGATCTACGGGTTTTCTATCATCTTTAATGTGCGCGTTAGTGATTCAGGAGGCATGGCTTTGGATAGCAGGGGAGGGATTGTGTTTGTAAGATTTAGTAGGCAGATCACCTACTGCACTTTTTATTTTTGTACTGCTGTATAAAATGTATTCTTGCTTGTGTTTTGATTACATACCTTGAATTATAGGGTCATTCTGACACCCCTGCTCTAGGGTATAAACAAAGTTCCAAAACCCGTTTAAAGGGTCACCGTAATAATGTCATTTTATACTGTAATATTTATATCGGTATAGTATCTAGCCCACTTATCAAGTCTTTGTGAAGTTTTTAACCAAATGAGCTGAGAAATTTGGTCAACATTGTTGTCAACATTATTTTTTCATTTTCCTATTAATGCATGAAAGATATTATGTTTGCACAGAGAAGAATTTTTGATTTAGATTTTACATTCTATGAGAACATTTAAAAAGGGTTTCTGAAATCAATGTAGATTCCTTTAAAGCACTTAAAATGTCACAGTATCAGTAACAAAGTGCTGCAGACAGTTTTCTCACGTTAAAAAAAAAAAAAAAAAACATGACAAAGAAAAGATCTATTATGGCCCGTTTCCACTGAGTGGTACGGTACGGTTCGATTTGGTGCACTTTTATGGCCGTTTCCACTGTCAAAAAAACATAACGAACCGAACCGAACCGTACCATACCACTTTTTCGGCACCCTTTCGAAAGGGTACCAAACAAGAGAAAGTGTACCAAAAGGTGGAGCTAGATGCGCTGCTGAACGCTATTGTTTTACAGAGAAACATAATTCGCTTACGCAACAAGCCAGAATTAAAACAAAGGAGGTGTCATGTTTAAAATACACAGCTGAGAATAAAGCGTGAATCTATATATACATATAATAACGAGCCATGGTCGAACCGGACTCGAACAAACCTTGTTTGTTGTTGTTGTCTTGCTGAACAACCACATAGCCAAAAAGAAGAGCAGATTTACCCAGTGCCTCGTAGTTTTTACGAGCCAGCCTGAAGCGAAAGCGGTTTTGCTTCCTTGCTTGCGCTCACCACGCGTCTATATCTGAAATAACAAACTTCTTGAGCTGATGATAATAGTGTGCGCTTGATTATTGTGCTTTTGAAAGCCGATCCTGTCCGAAACTGACAAACGCGAGAGTGACACATTCAGAAGGAAAAGGACAAATGTGAGAGTGAAGCGTGAACAAAGGAGAAACCTGACAAAAGTCTGGAGCAAATTGTTTTAGCAACCTGAATCACGAACAAACTGCCACGTTTATCGTCGCCTTCTGGACTATTCTGAATGGGGAATGACAGAATTACTCTCTAACAGAGTTTACATGTGCTGCTGAAGATTAAAGATACATATGAGAGGTTTGCACTGACTGTGGGCTATATTGCGTAATGTTAATGAACCTAAACAAGGACTAAATGTCTGCTGTGTGTAGTTTTTCTGTAGTTGGTAACATTTCGGAGATTGTAAGGGGCTGTATGTGTTCATAAATGTTGCATTTATATATTTATTTTATATAATTGCAGACGTTACAGTAGGCTATATCACACTGTCATTGATCTGCAGTTATAATCAAATCATGTTTATAGAAAGGTTAGTAATAAACATTTATAAACAAGTATGTATGTATATAGAGCATCTGTTTTGTAAAAAGTGCTTCTCATATATGTGAACGACTTGTACGGCTTTACTGTAGACATTTATTCCAGCGAGAATGAAGTCGACTGAAACTCTGTCATACAACACGCCCACCAAAAAGGTACCCTTGGTAGTGGAAACGCAAGCCTGATGAAGGTAACCTGTACCGAACCGTACCGTACCAGTGAGTGGAAACGAGCCATTATGTAAGAATGCATTCACTAGTGCCCATTGCATATTTATTGTGAGAAGAACAACCTGTTTCTTAAACAGTGCAATCTGTGGCCAAGCTGTCATTTCAATATCAACTAGCAGTGGAGGAAGTGGGCGTGTGAAGCTGAGACGAGCGCTATGATTTGACAGAAAGAGGAACTGGGATGTGGGATAAGAGCTGTGATTGGGCAGCAGGAGGAATTGGGCAGGGCATAGCAGTATACCTGGGGTCCTGGACAGCGGAGTCGATGGATGCCTGTCTGTGTCTGGTTCGAGGAGGGAGGGTAAGATAATGACTGCAACCACAGGGAGTAAAGAACAGAAATATGGTTGAATGGAGCTATTGAAGATGGGAAGATGAAAAGATAACAAAAGCGAAAGAAGCAGAGATTGACGGATAGAGAAAGAGTGATGTCAGAGAGAAAGGAGGAGGATCACGCTGTATTTCTATTTCTACGGATTCCACTGTGCTTTTTCAATGTGTAAATGAAAAAATGAATCATGTACTGTGTATGGCAACATTCCCATTTATGTTCCCTAGATCAGGTTTAGATCTGAAAACATTTAAGGGCACAATGCACACAATGGGGGTATACTATCTGTAACAGGATACAGTAAAACATGGATGTATACCTGTCTGGTGAGTATCTGTCTTCAGACAAGCGATGTTGGGGGCCATAATGTGATGGTCCTCCTCTCACACCATGGTCTAAACTTCGACTGAAGAGGAGGGGAGAAAAATAAAGTTCTATTATTACAACCTGCAACTAAATTCTCATTGAAGAAACATAATAGCCAGATCTACTTCTTTCTGTTTGTGGATATGAAGAGCTACGCAGGTACTGGGCTCCACTATTGAACGACATAACAGATCTAACATGGTTACAAAAAACAAGACTATATAATAAACTATAGCCGGCGTGACCAACCCTGTTCCTGGAGATCGACCTTCCGGTAGATTTCAGTTGCAACCCATATCAAACACACCTGCCTGTAATTATCAAGTGCTGGTCAGGTCCTAATTAATTGGTTCAGGTGTGTTTGATCAGGGTTGGAGCTGAACTTTGCAGGCAGGTCGATTTCCAGGAACAAGGTTGAGCATCAATGTACTATAGACTTACTGCAGTTATTCAGAAGACAAACAACACAGTCTGGAAGATGCATTCATCATTTACTCACTCATTAAATATATTTTGTTATTTCGAACAACAACAATTTTGAAGATTTTCATTTTTATTAATGTTTTTATCTTACTATTATAGTTATTTTACTTATATTAATTGATTCTAAGAGCTTTTGTATGGAACAAAATCAATGCCTAAAGTCTTGAATTAAAAAGCTTGTTGAATATCACAAACTGAAAAAAAATAATACACCGTATTAACAAGTTCTTGCATTTTAATGACTTGAATTCCAGGGTTTGTATTTTTAGGTCCTGAAATTTAACATATCTGTTTATTTAAGCTGTGAATATTTCAAGGAAAAATATTTCAAACACATTTTCATACTTAAAAATTTAATAATTCATATTCAATTTTCAGATTTCACTTACAAAATATTCAATACCCTTTAAAAATACGATGTATAATATTCAAAAGGTCATTTTCAGTTCATTTTATTTCAGTTCTAATATTCGCTTCCATAAATTCAGTGGATCAAATTCGACTGATAAAATTCAACTTTACATCCGGGAACTGCAGGAGAAGCAATAGATTGCAGAGTGAAGATCGCCAGCTGCTCTAGCTTTCACCAGCAGGTGGAGATGGAATAATGTAAGATTTTTAACCCAGTAAACAGGCGAGAAAAAGGCTAATAAAGGCAAAAAAGTAGCATTTAATTTTAATATCAATGCCTTGGAAAATATAAATAATAAAAAGTATGAGTAAAATGAGTAAATGAGGTTTTAGTCATCTATATTTGCCCTTATGTAACGGAAGCCAGCTGGTGATCGCGTAAAGCAGACTCCTTGGATCCAGGGACAGATTGTTCTGCAATCTTATCGGAGCTTGTCTCCCATGCTGGCTCGTTACCTGCTCGGACCGGTGCGGTTACTTGCACATAAACCGTCTTTTGATGAATATGATGTTAAGGGCTAAGAACAATTACGAACAAAGATTTTCAAAACCAGAGAGATTTTATGAGAATGTCACAAAACAGTTTACTTGGAAATGTTAAACAGAGTTCAGGTATGATTTAAGGTTGGTTATGGATGGGGCGTCTGATTTAAAATAATTTAATATAATGTGCGAATGCATTAAAGGAGCGTCTTCAGTTGTTCACACAGAACCGTCTAATATGGCATAACTATAAGGAGTAATGTTTGCGCTGTTTAAACGCAGCTATGTCAGGATTGGGATAGGTTATACATTTTCATCATTTAAAAACCTATAGGCGAGAAAAAGGTATGAACGCAAAAGTGGCAATGTCGCAGCCAATGATAAGTAATAAAATGAGTCGCCTGTGGTTTGATAATAGGCAGTTGTAACTGACTTTAATTTGTTTTCAGTATTAAATTAGAAAACCGTTATTTATAACTTTGCAGCGACCGTTTGTATTTTATGATTAGCAATGTTGATATTTTTTGCAGTTATTAAACATATAAACTTATTTAAACTGGTTTAAATTTAATATAGTTGTCACTTGAGCTAGTTTCATAAGATTAATGTTTAGAATGCGTGGTTTGACATGCGTGGTTAAGGGGTTCCTGCAAAGCAGCTCAATGTTCATCCTCATGTGGTATAACTGAGCTTTAATCGCCATCTACTGTAGAGAATGTATTTGCTCATTTATTCTATTAACTCTTTTTTGCAAGTCTGTTTTATGATTTCACAAAGTCAAACCATTATGTTTTTATTTTATATTTTGAGATGATCATATTTAAATAAACAATTGCTAGGGTAGCTAATAGTTTCTTTTTTATTGTTTTAAAAAAATCAGTAGCCTATAAAATCATAATTTTTGCTTGACAAAGTTATTAGTTTAGGATTCTGGATGCATTTTTGCTGTGTTGGAAACTCATAAGCTCACACTAATCAATTATATTATCAGAAATGACAGATATAAGAAATCCATTAATATTCATCACTCTTTTTACAATTATACAAGCAATTTCTCGCCGACGTCAGCTCCACTTTCGGACATGGTAAACAGCCAGGTGTTATTCATATAAGCCCAAGCATGACATATGTCATGATTAATATAATAATCGAAACACTCTTGTAGGCTATTCTTATGCTTGGCCAAATGTCATGACTTTCACTTTCATTTTACATTATTATGCACACGCCCAGATATCATCTGAAACTTTGGAAGAATTCCTATCATATATTGGCAGCCATCCAGCATCTCTTAATCAGTTTGATATGCGGCGCTGGCTCTGACCGGCCACCGGAGCTCGCGGCCACTCGTTCGAATTTGTCGTGAGCAAGCCACACCGCACATGCATAAAAACGTCAATCATTTCATTCATTCATTAATTCATTCATTTTCCTTCTGCTTTGTCTCTATTTTAGAGGAAAAGCGATAATCTGGACAAACTAAAGACATTTTGCAAACGTTTAACCGTGAAAAATCGGAAAAAAAAGAAGAGAAAGACGATACCAAAGTGATAGCTAAAAAGGATAAATAGAAATATTAATTTAGAATCACGGATGACTTATTTAAGCGCAATAGCCCAAATACATGTCATTAAATAACCTAATAATAATAACAATCATAATTTAAATAATGAAATTATAACCTATCCCAATCCTGACATAGCTCCGTTTAAATAATAACTGAAGACGCTCCTTTAATGCATTCGCATGATAAATTATTTTAAATCAGACGCCCCATCCATAACCAACCTTAAATCATACCTGAACTCTGTTTAACATTTCCAAGTAAACTGTTTTGTGACATTCTCATAAAATCTCTCTGGTTTTGAAAATCTTTGTTCGTAATTGTTCTTAGCCCTTAACATCATATTCATCAAAAGACGGTTTATGTGCAAGTAACCGCACCGGTCCGAGCAGGTAACGAGCCAGCATGGGAGACAAGCTCCGATAAGATTGCAGAACAATCTGTCCCTGGATCCAAGGAGTCAGCTTTACGCGATCACCAGCTGGCTTCCGTTACATAAGGGCAAATATAGATGACTAAAACCTCATTTACTCATTTTACTCATACTTTTTATTATTTATATTTTCCAAGGCATTGATATTAAAATTAAATGCTACTTTTTTGCCTTTATTAGCCTTTTTCTCGCCTGTTTACTGGGTTAAAAATCTTACATTATTCCATCTCCACCTGCTGGTGAAAGCTAGAGCAGCTGGCGATCTTCACTCTGCAATCTATTGCTTCTCCTGCAGTTCCCGGATGTAAAGTTGAATTTTATCAGTCGAATTTGATCCACTGAATTTATGGAAGCGAATATTAGAACTGAAATAAAATGAACTGAAAATGACCTTTTGAATATTATACATCGTATTTTTATAGGGTATTGAATATTTTGTAAGTGAAATCTGAAAATTGAATATGAATCATTGAATTTTTAAGTATGAAAACGTGTTTGAAATATTTTTCGTTGAAATATTCACAGCTTAAATAAACAGATATGTTAAATTTCAGGACCTAAAAATACAAACCCTGGAATTCAAGTCATTAAAATGCAAGAACTTGTTAATACGGTGTATTATTTTTTTTCAGTTTGTGATATTCAACAAGCTTTTTAATTCAAGACTTTAGGCATTGATTTTGTTCCATACTTTTGTTGCTGTTTTTGATATTTCTATTTATTCTTGATTTCAGTTTAGCACTTATTCTACATAATACAGTATTAAACAAACTGTTATTACTGTCAGGTTTCTGTGTTCTCCTTGCCATGTCTTCCATGTGCTTTTGTTATGTCATGTGATTCCTCTGTTTTCCCACCGTTTATTTGTGATTGTCGGTTCCATCCTTGTTTGCAATTAAGTTAATGGTGTCCTGTGTATTTATACTCCCCTAGTTTTGCTTATGCTGTGGTCACACTAGAGTTTGAGAATGCAAAAGTCTGTCATTTGGCGCTGTGAACTGAGTCAGGATTAAATAAGATGATTCGAAATTTAGAAAAAAAAAAGCAAGCAACTGGTCCATCATTAAAATTTATGTACACAGAGGTAATGTTTTAATCTTTGATTGGTCTCACGCAAGTTCACCAAGCTTGGATTTTGCAATGCAGCGAACTCCAAAAGTTGTAGCACAAACTTGTGTTGCCTTGCCTATAAATAAAAAAAGTCTATGGGGGCGAAAAGTGCAGTGGTTTAGTCTTGAATTGTCAACATCCTGTGTTTCTGTTTCCTAACTAAGGGTTTATAACTAAATAGATGTGTTCTTTTGGAGAGTGCTCATGTGACTATTCATTAATTTTTTTCAGCTTAGTCCCTTCATTATACTGGGGTCGCCACAGCGAAATGAACTGCCAACTTGTCCAGCATATGTTTTACGCATTGGATGCCCTTCCAGTTGCAACCCATCACTTGGAAACACCCATACACTCTCATTCACACTCATACACAACGGACAATTTTTAGCTTAACCAATTCTCCTGTACTGCATGTCTTTGGACTTGTGGGGGAAAAACCAGAGCAACCGAAGGAAACACACGCAAACATGCAAACTCCACAAAAAATGCCAACTGACCCAGCCGAGGCTCAAACCAGCGACCTTCTTGCTGTGAGGCGACAACACTACCTCTCATGTGACAATTACATTTCTTTCTTTTTCTCATTTACATTTTAGTTTTATACTTTTATTTGTACTTTATTTCAATGTACCAATATTGTTTTATAACCCTTAACCATGAAAAAAGTATATATTTTTTTACTTCAGATAAAATACAATTGAAAAGTTTGGCAAAAAGTTACAAAGTTTAATGTAATAAGAAAATATCCTTATTTACTTTATTAAAAAAATAGGTAAAGATTTCAAAGTAAAAATTTGATATTTCAAATCTAAAACAACAAATATTTTCCTTTATATATATTAAATATGTCCTTAAAAACAAAATACCAATCAGAAGGTGTAGAGATCATCTATGTTTAATATTTTAGATATAAGGCAATGCAGTGGCGCAGTGGGTAGCACATTCGCCTCACAGCAAGACGGTCGCTGGTTCGATCCTTGGCTCAGTTGGCGTTAGTATGTGGAGTTTGCATCTTCTCCCTGCGTTTGCGTGGGTTTCCTCCGGTTACTCCGGTTTCCCCCACAGTCCAAAGACATGCGGTACAGGTGAACTGGGTAGGCTAAATTGTCCGTAGTGTACGAGTGTGTGTGTGTGTGTGTGTGTGTGTGTGTGTGTGTGTGTGTGTGTGTATGTGTGGATCTTTCAAAGAGATGTGTTGCGGCTGGAAGGGCATCCGCTGCGTAAAAACTTGCTGGATAAGTTGGTGGTTCATTCCTCTGTGGCGACCCCAGATTAATAAATGGAATAAGCCGACAAGAAAATGAATGAATGAATAAATTTTAGATATAAGATATATAGCAAAGTTATTTGCTAAATCACAGTTGCAATAAATACATACAAATATTATGGAATATGCTCCTAATGTTGATGTGTGCTTTACCAGGAGGAGTTATCTTTTCTTTATGCTTGAGGGTTGACAATTATTGTTACTTACCTATATTTTTGTTTAATTCTGCCCTATTTTTGAGCTGAGATCATGCAATGAGTAAATAACTATTACAGCCATTGTTTAAAATTAACGTTAACAAGCTACTTTAAATACTGAGATGCCGATGAAGCACAACATTTAACAAACATTTTCTTACACTTTGCATTACATAATTATGGAGCATTGTTTCTATAATTATTTAGATTTGAAATGAAGTTTTGGAATATATATTTCTTGATATATTTATTTTAACGATAATGTGAAAGCAATCAATCATACATGTATGTGTGCTGTGCATTTACCTCTGCGGTGGAGGAACGCTGGGGGAGCGTGAGCGTGTGCGGATCATGTCTGATCGTGAACAGTGATTGGACGACATCACCTGCTCTGGTACAGACAGAGTAGAGCTCTGGAAATCCCTGCCATTGTGCCGGTAATCTGAAGAAAACACAAAACAACAAACATTCCAAAAACGGTGGACTTCATACTTTACTGGAGTATTTGTACTTTAGGAATTTCTTTAGTTTTACTCCACTGCATTTTTTTTAAAAATAAAGCTGAATAACAAAAAAAGGTAACACTTTATTTTGATGGCCCATCTGAGTATTATTAGACTGTCTGCTTAATTTCTGTTGATACTGATGATATTCAACTCACTACAAGAAAATTAGCAAGTACATGTTAACTTACACAAACCCTAACCCCAACCTAACAGTCTACTTATAATACAATAAGAGTTAGTTGCAATGTAACTTAAATTTAACAAACAGATAATCAAAATAAAGTGTGACCCCCCAAAAAAAGGGAGAAATCATCACTAGCTCAGAGACATGACAGTGCTGTTCAATTAGTGAATAAGCTTTCTTTTGTCAGTTGACCATTTCATAGTTCAACAACTAATTTGTAAATTTAACTGATCTAAAATAAAACTAATGGAACTAAACATATTATTTAAATCAGCGATTCTCCGATTTACTCAATTTCTAAACTAATCTGAATGAGATTTTATTTAAAACCTTAACACAATGTTAATGTACTAATAATGGTAAATGTTTTTACACGATTTTGTAATATATGTTACATTTTAGTAAAATGCATTTTAAAAATTGTATTTTTTCTTTCTAAATGTATTATTTCATATCCACTTTAATTTAATGTACTCATGTTTTTATAAATAGCTTTAATATTATTGTATATGATATGCTTTGTTATTTTACTGGCTTGCACACTTGGATTATTCTAAATTATGAGTATGATAAGTCACACTTATACAATTTTCTTTTTTTTTACAAAAAGAAAATTCATCCTCACTACATTTAATACAGTGAGGATAACTTTTACTCACATGGGTCATTTGTGTATACATCGTCCACCATTGTATTTTAAATCAAAGCAAAAGTTTAACACATGCTACCAAAAATTGCTATTAAAATAACAAAAAAAATCAAATAAAATGGAATATTACAATAATTAATTTTTAAAAGACTATATGGACTATATAACAGTCCATTTAGTTTTGTGGTCACTGTACTTTATGTGGTCTACTGCACTGAATGTAATTTGTTGATACCAATTTATTCAGGAACACAAAACTCAAGAAAAAAAAAAAAAATCCATCACAAAACACAAACATATTTGCCTTGTCATAAAGTGTGTTTGAGACAACGGTGAGATTTTTCCTTCAGCTTAGTTAGAGGGGGAAACTAAAGTTCAGAGTAATCTTCTCTCTGACAATATCCTTTAATTTGATTTGTCAATCAGCATGTGTAAACCCACAACAAGTCCATGTCCGCTCATGTGTACCATCAGACACTTACAAGATCATTTCAGAGACTATAGGATGTCATGACATGGATGTCATAGATTGTCAGTTTGTGGTCAAAATTATATATATATATATATATATATATATATATATATATATATATATATATATATATATATATATATATATATATATATATATATATTTTTTTTTTTTTTTTTTTTTATGTTTAAAAACTTTAATTAATTTGCGTTTTTAAGAAACAGTTTTGACTTTGCCCTCCCTCACTTACAGTAGTCATTGACATCCATAGTAGTATTTTTATTATATTGCCTTTTTTGACTTTTGGATAGAAACACAGTAAATCAAATATTAAATCACTTTGGTTATGTGTTTACATTTTTTTTGTGTGTGGGTAGTATTACTTATTTTATTACACAGCTGTCTGGAATACTTGATTCTTATTAGTCAGTTCCAAGGTATTGTATGTTATTCTGATATATGTAACAAAGCTGAAACTAATAACAGACTCATTCAGATGTTCACATCCATATTTATATGCTTGTCTTTCATGACACCATTTTTTGACTCTTCGGCGCCTTCTTGAGAATGAATAATATGTAGGTTAGTGTATGCTCCATCAACTCCATTCAGCCGTTTTCATTTCTGCCAGTTTTGCCTTAAATAAATCATTATTAAGTTATTATGGCTCAGAAAAATAGTTTGAGTTGAATTTTTGCATTTTGGAGCAAGAAGCCATTTAATAAGCAGGATAAAGTACATCCCAGGGGTTGTTTTTGCAGAATAAAACCTTTCAGTCTTACGTTGTAGCGGATTATGTGATAACTTCCTGGATGTATCTTCCTTATGTATCTTATCAAGCTCACATTAAATTGGGTAAAATTGACAGTAAAGACATTAAACTGTTTCAAAATAATATCTTCAAATAAATGTTGTTTTTTTTCTATTTATTTAAGTATACTTTATGCAATCACAATTCACTCTAAAAGTCTAAAAGAGAACTTTTAGACTATTATAATAAAGCATTATGTTCTGGTTTTGCAACAAATGCACCTATCAAAAGCAATAAATATAATTGAAAAGAACTGATTGAAATGCTGTCAAGGGCGCTCAAGTACAGTGTGGTGCTAAAGCAGGGAAAGGTGACTTAGCTGTACCTGAGATCACACCAATCCCATCTTCACAGTCGTAATCAGAGAACTCGCTGTCACTGATTCTCTGTGACCCTGAGAGAGAGAGAAAGAGAGAGAGAGAGAGAGAGAGAGAGAGAGAGAGAGATCATGAGAGTCATAATGAAGAAAAAGACTCTCTTAACGTGAGGATCTGTTGTAATCCACACAACGAATCACGTGAGGTTTAAGTAATCTAACTACAGCAAATTAGCACAGCGGGCACACACTAACCAGTTACATGTTATCGTACAGTGTTAAAAAGGAGGCACCATGTGCTTTATAATTATGTATTTATATATATTTTTTACTTATTTAAACTTATTATATTCTGTAAGTGTTTATAGTGGTTGATCATTTTAAATGTTGCTAATATTTTACTTAAAATTCTGATATATTGACGTAAAATTTATCATTTTAAATTGCTAATATTAGTCAATTTTAACTGATTACAACTCTTACATTAGGTTTTCAGTGTCTTTGTTACATTAACCAACCTTAATAATAAGCATTCCATTTGTTATAGTTAATATTTGGTAAAAAAAAAAAAAAAAAAAGTAACATTGTGAGTTAACATTCAGTACCTCAGGTATAAAACATTTTATTTTACACTTTTAGCGTTTGCAGATAATGAATGACCCATTGATAAACACTGAAATGAACATATATAATATACTTACACACACATAAACAGGTATATAACCATGTTAAAAATATCAAATATGTCTTACTATGTAAATAACCCTAAAAATAAATCCCAGTATATAGTACAACTAATAAAGCTACCACAGTTTTTGTTAAAAGTTAGTTTTATTGTGAAAATAAATGTTAAAATATGCAACATACTTACTCAGCAGTGTACTTTTAAAAAGAATATGTATAATAATTAGTAAACAATCATACAGTAATTTTGCTGGGATTAAATATATATATATATATATATATATATATATATATATATATATATATAGGATACATTCTAATATGAGTTTACAATTATATTCAATTATTTTAGCTTTTAAAATTTAGCTTTTTTTATTTTCGTCTTCGGCTCCGATATTTCATTAATCTATATTGGATTTCAAGTATTAAATTAAAGTTTGTTATAGTTTTAGCTTTAGCTTCAGATTACTCATTAATACAACTCATTATAAAGCAACCTGGTCTAACTATACGACGTACTTCCTATGACGTACAATATAATTTACATGTACTCCACAATGCTTTCGTCATTAACCAAAAGGCTTTGGACGAGAAGCTATTTAAATTTTTTACAATTTTTAATGTTCTTATTTATCACCTTGTTAAACTAAAAAAAAGTGGTGAAACACACACAGATTAAACAAACAAAGTTCAGCCTAATAAAATAAAAAATACCAGCGTGAACCATATGTGATGTGGTGCAAGTTTGTTATTATTTAGATTAAACCCAGAATACTGAAACACAGCAAACAACAACCACACAAAGGTTTGTGGGAGGCTGGGAAAAGCATTAGCAGTCCACACACAGATCTGCTCAGGAAGGATTACCAACTATTTTCTGATGTTCTATACTCTAAATGGGTAATATCAGAAGAACAAGGGCAGAGAAGCTGTAAAATGAGGATTGGTGGCATGTAGCAGCAGCAGCAGCAGCGATGGCCATTGAGTCCATGCAAGCTGTTGTGGAATCATAGTATGAGGTGAAGTGAGGGGAGATCAACACTTTTGGAGAGTGTAGAGGACAGTCATAACACTGCTGGCCAATCACATGCTAGCTGGAGCAGGAGAATCAAAGTTACCTGAGTTGAAAAAATACGGGCCCTTGTCTGCAAATGTGTCAGTGGTGGACAGACAGTAATATTGTTTTGAAGGAAACAAAACATGAAAACGAGAAACATATATCAGCAAAAACAAACATACATAAAATGCTTTGTCTAAAGTTATAAAATAACACATATATAAGATTCAATATAAGTATTAGGGGTGTAACAGTTCTCTGTAAATACAAAAGGAATTTATCTCTATCCATGGTGTCATGATCACCAGCAGTCTAGTAGCTGCAGATCGCTAAAGGACTACAAATCGGCCATTTATGAACTACATTTTCAGTCATGCAACACACATACACCTGCTCCAAGTCTCCACTGATTAGACTCCCTCAGCTGATGCTGCTTCTGGACTGATTACTGCACTACATAAACAGCACAGAAACACTCGCTGTTGCTGAGTCTTGTTATCTTTTTTGGTGACACTACAACGCCTTTGTCTTGTTTTACCGTGTTTTTCTTCTTGCCTAGTTTATTTGTTAATTCCTGTTTGCTGCATGTCTTGTGACCATCTGCCTTTTATTTTGACTATGACTCTGGATTGCCCTTATACCTTATAATGCCCCTATATTGACCACTGCTTGCCTGACCATTCTAATAAACCTGCAGGTGGATCCTCACCCCTCTTGTCAGTCACATCCCTCGTTACACATGGCTCGCCGTGTGCTTTATATTGAAACTGTTTACGTGTCTGTTGACCTTATTATTCCACATACAAGAGAGTGCAGCCGTTGGAATTTTATTGGCCCTAGATTTACGGTTTCATTCACTTCCTTTGATGTTTAGCTGTAAAAACCACATCAAAAAAAAACACACTTGCTATGCTGATTGACATTGCAAACTTTAGATGTTGCACTTTCTTTTTCTTTTTATGTATTATGTATTAAATATGTAAATAAAAATACTATAAAATTAGTTAGTTAGTGCTGTTTATTAGTGATGTGAAGTTTGGATCATTTTACTGACTCGTACCTTTGAGATAAACGAATTGTTAGATCAATTTCGTTCACTTTGCCAAAATATTATTAAAATCTTATAAGTTGCTTCCTAAAATCATTTACAACTACACCAAACGTTGATCACACTACAGACAAGTCATAACTAGAATGCTATAAGAAAGAGAAAATAATTATTTATTGTTAACCTGTTTTTTTGTCTATGATAATGTCTGCTCACCTCTTCTGACAGGTCTTCGAATTTGAGTGGTTCGTTCACGTCACACTGATTAAACCAATGCACACAGTCTGAGCTGAAAGGAGCCATGATTAGTTCACCTTTCAAGTCGTCTGTTTTTTGAGTCATTCGTTAATCAAGTGACAGCATGTAAAGGGAGATGACCTGAACCAAGAATGATGAAAGGATCAAATCTTTTTCCGGCTCTAAATGCATATGATTGGCTTCTGTCTTTCACATGATGAACGAACGACTCAAACCGAGGACTCGAGAGATGAACGCATCAAATCTTTTTTCGGCTTTGACTGCATATGATTGGCTTCTGTCTTTCATGTGATGAACGAACGACTCAAACCCGATAGAAAACTTGAAAAAGGAACTAAACTTCTACTCCACCTGCACAAAATTTTAGGTTGTGTGCGAGATTTGAGGACAATTTAAACTTGATGAGAGCCAGGCTACAACACCTAAATTATAGTCTTGTTTCTGAATGGACAAATTTAAACATTGTCAACATCCATGACTTAATGAGTATCCTACCACAAGCAGTTGTCTATGAAGACTTAAGTGAACGTTCCAGAAATGATGAGTTGTCTTTTCCTAATTTGTGTGTAAGGTTATATTTCATTATTATGCGGTTTCAGTATCTGAAAACTGTTGTTAGATACCTGAAACGAAGTAAATTTTATTAGTATCTTTTCTATACTGTATTTATTTGTGATTTTACTTTTAGATTGACTTTTTCTTTACATTTGTTTGAGTGTCTCCTATATTGTTTACTTAATATATCATATAAAACCATGGCCATAAAAACGTGATGCTAACCGAACCATGAGTAAACCCCTAATGAATATCTAATGATATTCTAAGAATTTCAATTTAATTAAGGATATGAAAATAGTACAGCATAGACGAACATGTGAACTATTTTTTGGCTACATTCAAATTCAATAAAAGCTGTAATCCGATTTTCTTGAATAAAAAAAAAAACACAATATATATTTACACTACTATTTAAAATCTATTTTACTAATCTAAAATTACTATATTGGGGGTCACTAGGGGATTGTTGTTGTTATTAGTAGTAGTAGTAGAAGTAGTAATAGTAAAGCTATTACACATTACCATTTTACAGACAGATTCATTGAATTCATGAAGTGGTATCCACAGTATCATTTTTAGATTCCAAACTAAGGTTCTTTTGAATTATTTGTTCATAAAAAAAATCCTAAAATAATAGCTTTAAAATAATAATAAAAGGAAATGTTAATCAAATGTTTATCAGACATTGATGAGTGATGCAACAAATCCTGAAAGTTAAACTTTGAGCTTTCAATGCCTTAAACATATTCAAATAGAAAACAACCATTTTTAAATTTAATTATCATTATGGCATTACAGTGTGTACTGTATTTTGATAAAAATACATCCTTCTCAACATTAAAATACATTAAAAGACTACATAATCCCAAACTAAATTTAACACAGCTGGCATGCTGAACACACAATTATAGTGACTGACTGACATATAGACATGGTTTCCGACAAGACAAGTTGATTTGTACATGACTGAATTTTAAAATGTTATTTTTGCTGTTCTCATTGTGAAATCAGTTAACTTAATTGTAGTGTGAACAATTTAATTCATTATTATTAATTAATTTGTATGGGTGTGTTTTCTATACATACTCTGTAACCTGCGTGTTGGACTTTCTCCGTGTAGGAGGCGCCTCTGCATGTACGGTGAGGGGTTCGGCAGAGGCATAGAGGACACATCGTGTGTTTGTAGCTTATACCAGTGAGGTTGATCATCCAACAGCGCCGTCTCCAACTCTATCAGAATCTGCACACACATATAATTTACAGACATTTATCATGGCGTTTTGAGCCGAAAAAGTGCACCATTATACCATTTTAACTGCTCTTAACTTTGTTTTCAACAACTTCTTCAATACAGTAGGTTTACAACTATTACGTCTTACATTTTATCATAATATTTATCAGCTCATTTCTCACAGCATTTGAAACAGATTGTTTAAACATCTACAGTAGTCTCTCTGTATTCTTCTTAGCTGGGAACCTCCTCTGCTCTGGTTAAACAGTCACGTCTCTTGTTATTTGGTCTACTGTGTAAATCAGGTTTCAAAAAAGTGAACATTTTTACAGTTAAAAATGCTGAGTAATGCAAAAGAAGTGACTTTTTTTCATATATTTGAGTTAGTGCTGGGCAATGATCATTTTAATCACAATTGACTTGAATTAAACCGTGATTTCTCTTTCTTAGCCAAGAAGCCTGATAGATTAATTGTTGTGCAATGAAATATAGCGTTACTAACTGACAAGGAAACACACATGAACAGTATTTCTACATAATTCATTCATAGAAAGAACAGCCAGAAAGGGGAAATTGATGAATTTGTACTAGGCTTGGGCGTTATCCAAATTTTGACACCGACAAACCTCCTCCCTATTTTACCTCGGTATCCGGTATTGCCGTACATAATAAAAGAATTATGACATAAGGCTCAAACAGTGTCACCAAACTGTTGGCTTGTGCCCAAACCATTCAGAAACTGAATACCTTATAGGTGACCTTAGGTTCGTGGTCATCTGTTTTCTTTTTCGTATCAAAGATCTGCGCTGGATGCTCTCTCTCATTCACACACATACGCACGCACGCATGCACACACACACAGAGAGAGAGAGAGGGAGAGAGAGAGAGAGAGAGAGAGCACCAAGCAACACACAGCACCACGCACTCTCTCATACACACACACAAACACACACACACACATACAAACAGCATCCATGCAGATGCGCGAGTGCTTGGGAGCGATATTGTAAGACCGCGCCCCCGCTCCCTTTCAAATTACACCAGAGTTACCGACCAATCCCGCACTTAATTGAGAAATTTATTCCCGCACTGCAAGAAATCTGGTCGGATCCCACGACTCCCACGTTACAGCAGCGGGAATGCAGACCTCTCTTATTTACCACATCTCCCTTCTAGTTCGATTGAAACCGGAAATACTGCCAAACTGCAGGTCACTTGGTGCGCGACTCACCATCTTACCTCACCTCTCTCTCTCCTCCACACTGTCCCATGATGACAATCATGCATATGCGTTTGTAGGCATTAAAAAAAATTATATTTATTATTTAATTCTTGTCTCCTATTTAAGTGCACTGTTTTTTATGATGGTCAAACCGTATTGAAACTGACACTGTTGCTATTTTTAGATCCCTCGGTATACCATATTACCCTATTACTGCTTTAGTTGTGCCGAATATTAACATCATTGACCCATAACAGTTCACAGTACCTATAACTGTAAGTATGTTTGTGTGCTTTTTATACCTTTTCTAATTTACAGTTAAGTGGAAGAAATAAATAAATGAATTGAAATGCAAATCAAAGAATAAATAGCAGAAGTGAACAAATAGATTTTCCCTACTAGCAAATATTAATCAGACACCAAATAAAAAAAAACAAGCAGACACTAACCCCATATAAAATCATCACCAATGACTAAATCTCAGAAAGATCAACAAAAATATCGGTGAATTGTAGCTCTCACATAAACACGAGGCTTATAAATTACTAGAAAACAGCTGCAGATGAAGTATATTGATCGCAAGTGCTCAGTTTTTGATCACATGTCGATTTTGTTCTGTTGATATGTAATTTTAAATATTCGTAGCTTGAGACAGATGTAAATATGATTGCTATTAATATGACTACTATGGCGAGGGCTTAAACAGAGCAGCGCTCATAATATCGAGCAAAAAAAGACAAGAAAAAGACAGCTGTGAAACATAACCTGCTTTGTATTTTTGTAGGAAACACAGTTTAGATCTTTTTAGCGTAAGAGGCGTGCGAGTTATTGCCGTCTATGACTGTGTCAGGAATATCCGAACAATACCAACTTAACTCCGCTCCTTTACCGCCCCTCACAGAGCTTGATCCATGCTGGCATTTCTCCTATTGGGTTTTTGGTTTTGAAACGGGAAAAAATTCCACCATCCTGTCCAAACTTTTAGGATACAGGGTGTCAGATTTCCACAATTCACATGCACAACACTTGGCCTGTTTTCTTTGCTGGAAAACTTGACAGAGCTCCTGCGTGTAGCTACGGTTGCTGAGCCATGATTGGTGGGTGGCGGTTTTTGGGTGTGGCTTAGCAAAGGGTCAATTAATTGCATAATTTGATTTACATATTTTTTTTATCTCTTTTTGCCACTGCCAGGGCATTTAGTAATAATAAATGATCATTGCATCATAGGTTCTTAGATCTTGTCCTAGAACCACACTGTTCTCAGACTTCTCAACCAATTTATACTATTCCTGCACCGCTGCCTAAATATGAAGCTATATTGCAGCGAAAATGTGGAATATTTCACATATTAAAACTAAGAAAGAATATCTAGAATTTAACTTTAAAGCGAATGTCACCAACTATCTTTTATTTATTATTATTTTTTTTAACTGAAATCCCTTTTCATGTTCTAAATATATATTGCTGCCAGAATAAGCATTCTTGCATCATAGTAAGTAAACACTGTGAGCTGCTTTATAGTTCTTTATAGCATTATTATCCTACTACAGTAGGAAGCAGTCAGAGCCGTTTATCTGACCTCTCCCAGGAACTCGCTCTCCTCCTCTCGGACTCTGGCCTGGTCCCATAGCGTGACCTCCAGCATTCGCTCCCTGAACTCTCGCCTGTGCACGGGTGAGTACATAAACGTCTGATTCCACTTGGGCTCCAGAGATTTCTTCACCGTTTTCGTCCTCCTCTTGCTTTTATCACTGAGAAGACAAAAGGAGTTCATTTTTTAGCTGATACAGTTTCATTAATACACTGAAACAATTCAATGACAGTCAATTTGTAAAACATTTCATTTATTCATTATTCTATTTATAGTTGTTTTACATCCAGTTAATAGTGTCATTTCTTACTTACAAATTGCTTTTTTATTGACTATTTCTTATTATTTCCCATTAATTTTCTCTTAGTTAAAAGCATTTTCATACTGTAGGCATTTAGGATTTCAGGTAATTTTCATTAGGATTTTAAAGTCTTGATTATAATTTTTTGCAGTAAAAATACAATTCATACCCTAAAAATACTAAATGTATTAACTGATAAGCATGTAAAAAAAATAAGCATAACAAATTATGCAATTGTGTTAATAAGTGATCTGAAGGTTTCATTTGCTCACAATGCCAAACTACACTTCAGCTTTATTTGATATCTTTTGATAT